AAACAGCTTAAAGACAACAATGTTAATGAATTGACAAAAGATTACTTAAATATAAACTCAGTCAACTTAAATGCAATACAGATGCTTTTAGTAACCCCCAGGAAATTTAACCTGGAGGAAGAGGATTGATTTTACATACATAAACATTTCAAGACCAGCTCATATGTTTCAAGGCCATTTCATTGCACAACCAACTTATATGAGCATATTAACTTTGTGCCTTGCTGGCTACTTATTAACATAAAATATTTTCCTATTAAATATCAATGTACAGATTGTACAAAATGGAAATCGATAGCAATAAAACATTCTTAACAATTAATACGTGATTCAGTCATTTCTCAAATGTCATCAAGAAAAATAAACTTCACAAGTTGTAAAAAATAAACCATTCCATGTTCTCAACAAGATTCTTTGAACAGATCTGGTATATGTACATAACTTAAGGCTTGATTTAATACCATGCCACCAGTAAATTCTTAAACAACAGATTGCCTCTTTCTATCAATAAACCTTAATGTATCCCTTTTAAACAGAAGCAATAGTTTTGATTAAACATTTATATCTCAGATCTGGTAGGAAAAGAAAATATGGATGTCTTTTTTGTAAAATATAAAATTATTTATACAAAAGAATCTTTAGCCATCTTTTCTATAATTAGATAGTCTTTGGCATGTTCCTATTAATATCTGACAAAAATGTAAAAACATTAAAACTGTAATGTCAATAGAAATGCCTTCTGGTGCATAGTTATCAAATACATTATCACAGACTTTATGCTCAAATCATGAAGTAATCTTAATCCCCTGTGGCACTGGGACAATGGGCCCAGTAGCACCTTCTCCTTGTCTCTCTGTGCCAGAGGTGGACACTGCCACCATCACTGGTGCAGATAGCACTGAGGATCCCACCTCCCCTCCCTCCTCTTCAGTTTCCTCCTCAGAGTCTGTCTCCTCCTCTGATGACTGGGCAGCAGTCTCAGCATCAGTAGTTGCAGCTTGTGTAGCAGTTTCAGTATCTGTGTCAGTGACAGCTCCTGATGGAGTAACAGGGGCTCTCCTAGGGGTAGCTGGAGCTGAAGTGTCCACATCGGCTGCTGTGGCATCTTCATCCTCTGTTTCTGTTTCACTTTCAGTTTCTGTCTCAGATTCAGCCTCTGTTGTAGCAGCTGTCTGGGAAGTGGTATCTGCTCCACTGTGTACTGCAGTGGCTGGTCTTGTTGCTGGTGTACCAGAGGCTATTTTGGGTGTAACTGGAGCTGAAGTGTCCACATCAGCCGCTGTTGCATCTTCATCCTCTGTTTCAGTTTCACTTTCAGTTTCTGTCTCAGATTCGGCCTCAGTTGTAGCAGCTGTCTGCGTGGTGGTCTCTGCTCCACTTTCTACTGCAGATGCTGGTGCTGGTGTAACAGAGGCTATTTTGGGTGTAACTGGAGCTGAAGTGTCAACATCAGCCGCTGTTGCATCTTCATCCTCTGTTTCAGTTTCACTTTCAGTTTCTGTCTCAGATTCGGCCTCAGTTGTAGCAGCTGTCTGTGTTTTGGTCTCTGCTCCACTTTCTACTGCAGATGCTGGTGCTGGTGTAACAGAGGCTATTTTGGGTGTAACTGGAGCTGAAGTGTCAGCTGCAGTCTCTGTTGCATCCTCATCCTCTGTTTCAGTTTCACTTTCAGTTTCTGTCTCAGATTCAGCCTCAGTTGTAGCAGCTGTCTGTGTGGTTGTCTCTGTTCTACTCTCTACTGCAGACGCTGGTGCTGGTGTAACAGAGGCTATTTTGGGTGTCACTGGAGCTGATGTGTCGGCTGCAGTATCTGTTGCACCTTCATCTTCTGTTTCACTTTCAGTTTCACTTTCAGATTCAGTATTAGCATCAGTAGTAGCAGCAGCCTGTGTGGTAGTCTCTGCCTCTGTGTCTGTGGCACCACCTCGCCTAGGAGTACCTGGAGTGGAGGTTTCTACCACAGTATCTGCTTCGCTTTCATCTTCAGATTCACTTTCACTTTCAGTTTCCTCAGCCTGTGTGTTAGTGGCTGTTGTGGTTGCTTCTGTCTCAGACACAGCTGTAGTGCTTCCCATTGTAGTGGTAGTTTGATCTTCAGTTTCCGTCTCTGTTTGAGTTACATCAGTCTGTGATACTGCAGTACTACTAGCACCCGTGTGTGAAACATTTGAAGCACTCACTGCTCTAGATGTAGCTTCAGTTTCTTCACCTTCTGTTTCTGATTCTGTTTCGGTTTCAGTCTCAGATTGTTCTGTGTGAGAAACACCTGTACTTGTAGCATCAGCAGTATTTGTTATGGACGTATTGCTTACAGCTCTGGTTATCTGACTAGCATCTTTTTTACTTTCCTCTGTCTCAGTTTCGCTTTCAGTGTCAGTTTCACTTTCACTTTCCTCCTCAATATTTGTCGTGGACCCTGCTGTTGATGTACTCACTCCTTGCTTGCTGTCACTCTCAGTCTGAGTCACAGTGGTAATGCTGGCTGATTGTGATGCTGTAGTTGTGGTCTCACCCTGTGTCACTGTTGCAGAACTTCCAGATATTGAAGATGATGCTCCTGATGGGGTAGCTCCAGTCACTGATGAAGCGGTTTCTGGGATACTTCTTCCAGATATACCGCCCTCATCTTCTTCTTCTTCTGCATCACTGCTCTCTGTTTCTGTCTCAGATCCTGTCTCTGAGTCACTCTGTTCTCCACTTGTTTTAACTGTGACTTCTGATGTTTTACTGGTGGTTTCAGATATAGTTCTACTTTCAACTGTTGACCTTGAAACCTCCGTATCTGGAGCCTCCACCTCAGCGGACCTTGAAACTGCCACCTTTTCAGAATCCTGTGGAATGCTACCCTCTGTGGATTTTCCTCTCTCCTCCATCTTTTTCTTGTCTGCTGTTTGCTTCCTGGGTGTACTGGGCTCAGATCTGTCACTGACAGATGCATCTGACACATCAGAAGGAGCCTGGATCAGGATCTGTGGGGCAGCCATTGATTTATCCCCAGACTTATCTTTATCAGAGACCTCTTCTTTATGTTCTTCCGAATACACATCCAGTGAGACAGTCACTTCTTTGTGGTAAACATCCTGTGGATATTGTGCCTGCAGCTCCTGTGTGCTGGTCAAATTTTCTGGGTCTTGTTTGACCTCAAGTTCACCTCCCGCAGGCTCCCCCTCCTCCACAGCCTCATCACGGATGGTGTCCAGGAAAGTCTCATCATTTTCTTCCATCTTCTTGTGAGTTTCTTCGTAGATTTTCTTTTTCTCCTAAAATAAGATTAAATCGCTACTTAGAAAATTTGATGGAATGTTTGATCTGCAATACAAAGTCATGAAATTGTGGCAGTAATTGTTTCATATGCACAAAAACAACAGTCCTCTGTCTATGTTAAAAAGCTTTTTGAAAATGATGCTTTCAGTTTTCAATCTAGAAAATAATATATTAAATTTTTCAGATGGACTAAGCTTGAGGTCAAGACATTTTAAAACACTGGCAACTATTTCGGTTCCAATAAACCATAAAAAATATCATAAACACATAAAACATCCAGTATTCATGCAGTAAATTGAGGTGGTATTGCTATAAAATGCCAATTACAACTAAACCTTACCATGCTTTGTGTTCTATTTTCTAACCATGCGACATGCAGTTTAGAATGTGTGGCAGACTTATATGCTTAAGTTACAAAGCCTTGTAGAATTATCTTATAATAGTCAAGTCATGCTACTATGAAAGTGCTGCTATATATATGCATGTTGATAATGAAAATGAAAATCTATTAAACCATAACTTATTACAAATGGATTGGCGAAATGTGCATGTGCAGTTAACTATAAAATGACATTCGTGATAACTGAATGAAGTACTAGTACATTTATTTTCTGATATGTCATATTGTGAGCTATTAAAACATGCAGCTGCAGTAAAGTCCATCATGGTGCAAACTTACAATGGTTGTTACATGTACAAGGAAGCCTGCAGATGGGACAGATACAATGGTTATGAAATATAGATATACACCACAGTACTGTTTTGAGATGTTAATCACTAATTTTGCCCTCTATTTATTAGTGTGTAGTCAGTAAAACTGTACATCACTGGTGCTACATCATGGTGTAATAAGACCTAGTCAAGCTAAAATATTGTTGATTTTCCTCACTTTTTCACTTGGGACTATCAGTATTGATATCTTTCTCTGTCTATTAAAATCCATTCAACTGCTTTCAATTTGTAAATATAAAAAATGGCTATTGGCTTGTTTGAAAAACAGAGAAACTATAGGCAGAAAAGGTTAGTAAATACCCATGAAATCCATATAAAGACACTCTTTCAACAATACCCACCTCAAGCTCTGCTTCCGTTTCATGTGCCACATTCTCCTCTTCCTCACCCTCCTCAGCACCATCTGGAGACTCTCCTGAAGCCACTACGATGGCAGATGAAGGGCGACTTCGGGCAGAATGAGGTCTGCTGGGAGTTTGCTCCTTAATACAGAAAGATATTTGTAAATGATTTGACGACTTCAAGATCTACCGAAAATTTCAAAATGTGCTTTTCTTTTTTGAGGACTCTTGTTAAAATGTTGGGCTTGAAAATGTGTCTTTCCATGTGCACCGCAACATCTAAAAGAATAGATAATACATTGATAAACTTGGAATAAAACTATATCTGTGGACATACCTTGTCATCTGTCCAGCCAGGTTCTACTTGAAGAGACTCCTTGTCACTGTCTGTGCCTGGCTCATCTACTTCTGAGATCTTGCCAAGGTCATTGCTGAGAAGAAAAATATTTTATTTCAAATTAGATATTTTGCATTTACATTTTTTTTCAATTTTCACAAATGTTTATTCTCTTCATAACTGATCTTTATTAAATATTAATACTGGATCTTCAAATTACTCTAAAATTGTTGTAAGACTCGGGAAGCAGATCACTTAATTGCAACAACCTGCCACATTGTATAAAATGGTCAGCTTAAAGAACAGGTGCTTTGTTCATGAGGGACAACATCAGGCCTTTTTAATGGAATTTTATATCTTCAATACAACTGTACCAGTATGCTTTGAGAGGTTGCAGTGTAATTAAGCCATGGGGGACTTAACTCCCTTTCACAAGTTTTCTGCAAGTTTGCTTCCTGCTGTTTAGGTGGAAGGTACAGTTGCATTAAAATATGATGCTCAATGTGAAAAGGCCTATGGACTCACAGTACGATCTAGATGTAAAACCACATCAAAATTGTGGACTTCATGGAGCTAGTCTTAAAATTTTAGCAAACAGTAAATAAAAGAGTTTTAGTTAACCAGTCTCTGTATAAAGACTGATTATTCTACTTCATAACAATTTCAACCAAAATGTAGAAATACCAACAAGTCAAAATACTTACCCAGTTCTAGTGTTAGTCCTCAGCTGTGCAAAGGTGCTGGCTGGGTCATGAAGTTCATCCTCACACCTCCTCAGAAACTCGGACACCTCCTCATGCTGGTAGTCCATTGCAACGGACAGAGGGGTGCGGTCATCACTGGCCACAGCATCAATCTTGGCCCGGTTTGCCACCAGCCACTTGCACGTCTCCATGTGGCCACTCATGGCAGCAAGGTGAAGAGGAGTCAGACCGTCCAGAGTCAGCGGGCTAATCTGAGCACCCATTGCCACCAAGACCTGAATGTGGAACACAGTAAATACTCATATTCCATGGGATATCATCTAGTGAAATACAAAATTCCTTTAAAAATATATTTTTTAAAATTTATTTATAAATATTCTCATATTTAAAGTATTTGAAAACCAAATGTGGTATGCTTTTCACATTTTAGATCCTTACAATACAATATATGTTATAATACATCTAATAATTATTATAAAAGACCTAATAATAATAATAATAATAATAATAATAATAATAATATCAATTTGAAAAAAAGACACACAAATCAAGCATAACACAATCAAATCTTACAAATGTTCATTGTAACACTATCTGTATTCTGTCCTATTTCAATACACTTTCATTAAAAAAAAAAGAACTTGCAGCAGGGACACTAAGGTACTTCTGTAAGTAGCCAAATACACAACAACAACAAGTAGTTCTAATACCTACCATAAGACATGAGACATGCCCCTCTAATGCAGCTAAGTGTACAGGTGTGTATCCTGTGGGGGTTTCCTGGCTCAAGTCAGCCCCGTTCACAGCCAGCCACTTCACAATGTCCACATGTCCAGCTGAGGCCGCAGTGTGCAAGGCTGACCAGCCACGCTCATCAACAGACCTGGAGATAATTACAATTTTATCATGCTGGAGATAATGAATAAGTTAATAATAATAATAATAATAATAATAATAATAATAATAATTCAATATATGTTATAATACAGCTAATTAATTAATTTAATTATTTTAATTATATTTAATTATTTCATCCTAAATGGAACCAATGCATAAATTGATTTTTATCCTGCTTCTTTAGATCTTAGGAGTAGACAACTGGATGGGGCAGGGGAGAATANTATAAATATGAAAAATGGCTATTGGCTTGTTTGAAAAACAGAGAAACTATAGGCAGAAAAGGTTAGTAAATACCCATGAAATCCATATAAAGACATTCTTTCAACAATACCCACCTCAAGCTCTTCTTCCGTTTCATGTGCCACATTCTCCTCTTCCTCACCCTCCTCAGCACCATCTGGAGACTCTCCTGAAGCCACTACGATGGCAGATGAAGGGCGACTTCGGGCAGAATGAGGTCTGCTGGGAGTTTGCTCCTTAATACAGAAAGATATTTGTAAATGATTGGACGACTTCAAGATCTACCGAAAATTTCAAAATGTGCTTTTCTCTTTTGAGGACTCTTGTTAAAATGTTGGGCTTGAAAATGTGTCTTTCCATGTGCACCGCAACATCTAAAAGAATAGATAATACATTGATAAACTTGGAATAAAACTATATCTGTGGACATACCTTGTCATCTGTCCAGCCAGGTTCTACTTGAAGAGACTCCTTGTCACTGTCTGTGCCTGGCTCATCTACTTCTGAGATCTTGCCAAGGTCATTGCTGAGAAGAAAAATATTTTATTTCAAATTAGATATTTTGCATTTACATTTTTTTCAACTTTCACAAATGTTTATTCTCTTCATAACTGATCTTTATTAAATATTAATACTGAATCTTCAAATTACTCTAAAATTGTTGTAAGACTCGGGAAGCAGATCACTTAATTGCAACAACCTGCCACATTGTATAAAATGGTCAGCTTAAAGAACAGGTGCTTTGTTCATGAGGGACAACATCAGGCCTTTTTAATGGAATTTTATATCTTCAATACAACTGTACCAGTATGCTTTGAGAGGTTGCAGTGTAATTAAGCCACGGGGGACTTAACTCCCTTTCACAAGTTTTCTGCAAGTTTGCTTCCTGCTGTTTAGGTGGAAGGTACAGTTGCATTAAAATATGATGCTCAATGTGAAAAGGCCTATGGACTCACAGTACGATCTAGATGTAAAACCACATCAAAATTGTGGACTTCATGTAGCTAGTCTTAAAAATTTAGCATACAGTAAATAAAAGAGTTTTAGTTAACCAGTCTCTGTATAAAGACTGATTATTCTACTTCATAACAGTTTCAACCAAAATGTAGAAATACCAACAAGTCAAAAAACTCACCCAGTTCTAGTGTTAGTCCTCAGCTGTGCAAAGGTGCTGGCTGGGTCATGAAGTTCATCCTCACACCTCCTCAGAAACTCAGACACCTCCTCATGCTGGTAGTCCATTGCAACGGACAGAGGGGTGCGGTCATCACTGGCCACAGCATCAATTTTGGCCCGGTTTGCCACCAGCCACTTGCACGTCTCCATGTGGCCACTCATGGCAGCAAGGTGAAGAGGAGTGAGACCGTCCAGAGTCAGCGGGCTAATCTGAGCACCCATTGCCACCAAGACCTGAATGTGGAACACAGTAAATACTCATATTCCATGGGATATCATCTAGTGAAATACAAAATTCCTTTAAAAATATATTTTTTAAAATTTATTTATAAATATTCTCATATTAAAACTATTTGAAAACCAAATGTGGTATGCTTTTCACATTTTAGATCCTTACAATACAATATATGTTAATATCTAATAATTATAATAAAAGACCTAATAAAAAAAATAATATCAATTTGAAAAAAAGACACACAAATCAAGCATAACACAATCAAATCTTACAAATGTTCATTGTAACACTATCTGTATTCTGTCCTATTTCAATACACTTTCATTAAAAAAAAAAAAAAAGAACTTGCACAATAAAAGCTTGCAGGGACAATAAGGTACTTCTGTAAGTAGCCAAATACACAACAACAACAAGTAGTTCTAATACCTACCATAAGACATGAGACATGCCCCTCTAATGCAGCCAAGTGTACAGGTGTGTATCCTGTGGGGGTTTCCTGGCTCAAGTCAGCCCCGTTCACAGCCAGCCACTTCACAATGTCCACATGTCCAGCTGAGGCCGCAGTGTGCAAGGCTGACCAGCCACGCTCATCAACAGACCTGGAGATAATTACAATTTTATCATGCTGGAGATAATGAATAAGTTAATAATAATAATAATAATAATAATAATAATACAATATATGTTATAATACAGCTAATTAATTAATTTAATTATTTCATCCTAAATGGAACCAATGCATAAATTGATTTTTATCCTGCTTCTTTAGATCTTAGGAGTAGACAACTGGATGGGGCAGGGGAGAATATAAAAGGGGGGGGCATTGATGCCTGCAAATGCTAGTCTGTTCAACAATGCTATCAATATAATATACTTTCTTAATTTTAACCTTCTACTTACTTGATCAGGTCAGGATTGTTCTGAATAAGTTCTTTTACTCTTTCATGGTTGTTATCCCTTGCAGCACGGTGAATGCTTGGCCCTCGTCTGCGCTGCCTGCTCTCAGACTCACTTTCAGATCCACTTGGAGACTTCTCAGATTCACTGGATTTCTTCTGTATTGCCAAAGCAGCCTATAATAACAGATAATTATATATATATATATATATATATATATATATATATATATATATATATATATATATTACATAGAATGTTTAGTATCAGCCCTCTAAGTCAAAAAAGGTCACCTCTGCATCAAAATTTGATCTAGGTTCCAATCGGGTAAACTAAGGGTCCAGGAGTAGAAAGGTTACCTTTTTTGGAATAAGAATCTCTCTTTGAAATTATTGACTACAAGCCTGATTATCTAGGCTACATTATACACCTAATATCAGACTTACACATTAAATAGATACACTGTATATATCACTTTCATCATTCTTATATAATGTAAGAACTACACTAAAAAATGCTGGAAACAACGTTTTAATATAAGACAACTGCAATGTACCTTAAATCCTTCCATATAAGCTTTTCCCTTGTCTTCAGCACTTTCCTCTTCTTTTGATTCTTCTAGCATCTACAGCAATAAGAAACAATAACATTCAGATTTACTTTTAGTAATTGTTAGTCATGAGCAAGGTTTCTGACCAAGAATCAAACTTTTTGAGGAAAATTTAGAAACACCAGTGAAAGGAATGTCTTCTCTAACATTAAATAGTGCATTATTTAACAATGTGTCCAAGCTATGAATACCAAAAAGAATATTGTTAAGTTATGTATAATGTGTATGGGTATACCTTATCCTCCTTTTCAGGTTTTTCACTATCTCCTTTCTCTATGGCCGTCTCCTCCTCCTCTCCCACCACAGAGAGACGTACTTCTTTTGGTCCTTCCACTGCCTCAGGATCCTCTATACGAGGAGTGACCTGGCTGTCAATGTCGTCATCATGCACCATTGGGGTCTGTCTGGCAGATAGCACTGGTTTGTCAGACTCAAAATCATCATGAACTTCTGGACTCTTCTGCTCTCTTCTGACCCTGTCTTCTGGCTCTCCAGAATCTTCATGTCTTTCTTTCTCCCCATCATCGTTTTCACTTGCTGTTATAGATGTTGGAGGAGAAGTCTTCTTCTCTTCTCGTTCTTTATAATGGATGCGTGGACCTCGGGGTGTTTTCTCAACAATATCACTGGGACTGCGCTCACTTCTCTGACCCTGCATGCTGGTACGGTCTGTCTCTGGTTCTGATCTAGATCTGCTGGAACTTCTGCTTCTACTTCTACTTCTATCACTACGTGACTGTGACCTAGACCTTGACCTTGATGATGACCTTGATTTTGATCTTGACCTACTTCTACTTCCACTCCTACTTTGTCTCTTGCTGCTGTTGCTGCTGCTGCTTCTACTGCGGCTTCTTATGCTCCCACTCCTACTTCTCTTTTTCTTTTTATGTTTCTTTGTTGGCGTTCTTGATCTTCCTGGACTAGTTTCTCTTGAGGTTGCTGACTCACTTGGTGAATCTGTGGTCTCTTTGTCTGAAAAATAAAGTACATTTCATAATAAATAACTTGTAACTGAATTCATTATTAACTAGAGGATACGACAGGTAATATTGCATGGAAGACAAAAAAAAGGGACATCACCTCAAGAGTTGTGGTGGACAAGTTCTACAAAATGCAGTAAACAAGAGTTCTCAATTTTCTGTGGAAAATTACAATTTATAACAAAATCCTGGGGAAATTTTATGAAGTTCAGTTCATGATGAAAAATTGGCCAATTTAAACAGAGGTGGTGCACACACAAACCGTCTATATGGAAAAAAGTAATTATTATCTGAATATTTTCAGACTTTACACAACTACGGTATCCTATAAAATACAGAACTAATAAGACAGGTAGAAAAAGACTTGCTATCTAATCAGAACCATTGTCACAGTGATCCAAACATAATATCTGTCATGTTTCTTGAAGGAACTATTTCCTAGCTCACCTGATGGTATCCTGCGACTTGTGGAGAGTTCCAGCTCTCTGATTGTCTTTTTGTCCCCATCAATGGCAGACAACCACATGTTACAAGGGAAGAAGTAGCTCATACCATCATGGTGGTCATCCACACTGACACTCTCTAGGTACCATGCAAACTCTGGAGTGAAGAAAAAAGACTATCATTCTGTTACATGTGTAACAAGGCAGCAAATGCTGTCAAATGGACAGATGCATATATGTTAAACTTAAAATAACAGCAAATCAGGACAGGTTTCTTTTAAATTAAAATACAATTTACATTGAAATATCAAAAGTATTGAATTTCATGATATTAAAATATCCATGGGTAAATAAACTGAAACTCTGAAAATACCAAGACGTTTATAAACTGTGGGTTGACTGTAAACTAAATATTAACATTATACTTATTGGCATGACAGATTATTTAAACATACTTGTTCCATAGAGTCAGTATTATAATTGTTTACTGTATCAGCCTCTGAAAGGCCACAGGATTACCATAATTCACTTACCTAGCTCAGTTCTATCATGTCCAATTTTTACCTTGGTTAGTGGGCCTAAATAGTGAGTTTCTATTTTAAACAAATCCTCCTGAAAAGAAAAAATCATTTCTTTAATCATGAAGAAATCAACATTTTTATGTACTGTAACACCTATGCTTTTCTTTGCTTTTTTCACAAAATAACATTCTGTCTTAAGCATTTCTTTGTAAAAAATCTAACCACTTATTTTACAATAAACTAGTAAATAAGAAATGTAACAAAAAGCAAAATTCAATGCATATTATATTACCTGTCCCTTCTTGAACTTAATTTTGTGTCTCTCTGACTTGTCCAGTACTTGTAGCTCTGATCGTCCTTTGTCTCCATACAGAGTAATGTGGACCTCAGCCTTGGTGCTGGACCCTATCTTGTTACCAGTGTGGACATAGATGTAGTACATACACAGATCTGTGCCACTTACCACCTGCTCAGCCTGAAAGATATAAAGATATTTCATAAACAATCTAAATTCAGTCCATAATCCCTGTTTTTCCTTGGAGCATGAAGCAGTTTGAATTGGAATTAGTGCAAGGCATATTTAGTGCTTGATGTGTGATTGGATGCAATAATTCACTTACAGTAGTATTCAGCTCTTTAATTTGAGAAAAATATTCTAAAGTCTAGCTAGAACCTAGAAAAAGTTTGCATTCAAATATGACCCACTAAATTTTAGTATAAAAAGAAGTGCATTTTAAAGTTAAAAACAAAAGATTCAATAGTATCAAAACTGTTTTTATAAGTTACAAATCAATAATAAAGATCCCCATATCAAAGTACTGCAGCTAAGATTGTGTCAAAGTATATACATGTAACTTTTAACATACATGGTCATATCTGAGCAGCAATTCCCTGTCAGTCTGTGTACTGACATTCTCCACTGTTTGCGTCCCCTCATCCACCAAAATGTCTTCCTCCCCAGGGTCATCATAGATCCCCAGGGACTCATTACTCAGCACTTTCTGTTCGAGAGGTTTGAGGTCCTGTGGCTCTTGTGGCGGCGGACGCTCCCTGTTTATAAACAAAGTTGATACACATAAAATATATCATTAAAAATTCAAGTTTTGAAACTTTTTACTAGGTAAAATACCACAATCCACTTGAGTATTTTTCTAATGATTACTTGTTTCAAAGGAAATATACAGAATTTTTTAAAATCCATTCAGTAAATAAAAGTTCCTGCTTTTAGACAGTAGCAAATAAAACATTTCAATCTGATGACAATACAAATTCACATCTAAATAAAATTATAAAAAAAGAACAAATGGCTTTAGATAAAAACTATAGAAAAGGTTGAAAAACATCTGAAATATACCTAGAAAGGGTAAAATGCAAAAGAAAATAAAATAGTCACATTTCTATAAAGAACAACAAAAGTGGTAAGCAAAAAGAATCTCATCAAAGACAAAATAGAAAATATAATTTTTACAATAAATTTAACAGCAATGAAAATGGTTCTTCAGCCCTTATAATCATGTCAGACACAACTTCTATCTGCTGTAATTATAAGGAATGATTAGAAAGTGCTTCAGATTATAACTTTTTGCACTGATGTTACGGCTTTATAGAAAATGATAGAATTTGATGTACTTTTCTGTACAAAAGATGCTTTCTATAAATATAATTTTTTTTATCTATTTAAACTCTTCTCAGAGTTCCTAATGTTAGACAATGTTTTATCAACTATCGTCATAGTTTAACAGCCACCTTCCCAATTTATTGCATCAACTGTTTATATCCTAAGGATTTAAGACATGTTGCCGTAAATCAAATGCAATAGCCTGAAGAGAAACTGAAAGAAAACTTAGAAATATTGAAGATAAAAGGAAAGTGAGTAAATTTAGTCATCAACTTACAATCCTGTTAAGTCTACATTTAGTGCTGACAAAGACCTGCAAAGTGTAGAATTCAGAACATTTGCAATTTCTGCTTTCCTTTGAGTAAGTTTAATATTCAATATAATTTTCAAAACTACAAAAGCAAATCAAACAAAGTTAATAAAGAAAAATGTGTCCACTTTAATATGCAAACATTAATTTTCTAATAAGCATTAATTACCTTGGCAACTCTGTTAATCAATTAGTTGTTAGTGTAGCAGTTTCATTATTGAAAAATCTGAAGTCTTTAAAACTTACCCTTGTCTGTATTTTGCAGACTTTGGCCTGACAACTGAGGACTTAGGTCCTGATGGTGGATTGGGTTTCCTCAGCCTCCCGTGTGCATCCTCAGTCTCGCTGGTACTGCTGGTGGAGGCAGCAGGTGCCTGATGGACCCACTTATTGTCCAAGGCATTTTCACGTGGAGCCTCCTGCATCCTAGTTCTGAAGCGACATAAACATTGTTCATAACCACAGAATATCCCTCTGACTTTTTTTATTCTCCAAATTCAAAGCACATAATAATTTATTATTATAGTCATTTCCTTCAATAAATTCCATACAATCATTAAAGTCAATATCAAAATCAATGTATTGATTTAATTCATTATTATTTAGCCTACCTGAGCCAGGGTGCTATGGGGTCATTAGGGTCTCTCTCCTCATCATGGATATCATCATGTACTGAACTCCCCTGGGAACTAGCACTGTCCTTGGTTATATAGGCACTGTCATCAAAACTCTGGATAAAAATATAAGATGCTCTATGTACATAAAACCCCACATGTTTTGCTAAGACTTAAACTTTACTAGGATTATTTTGCCTGAAATAGCAATGATGCCATAAGGCTTGAATAATAATTACTTATTAACAGTGAACACAAATAAAAAAATATTTGTTCATTGGTTTACAGTCAAATATCTAGTTGTTCCTCACCCTGCGTCTCTGTACAGGCACTCTTCTGCCATTTATGTCCCAAGTGTATTTGGCAGTGTAAGGACGCTTTCTCTCCCCCTGAGCAGTCTAGAAAAAATGAATTAACAACATTAAATAAAATCGCCTATTGCACAGAACATACAATTATTATACATCATAAACCATTGAAAAATTAAGCATTTGGGCTCAAGTTGAAGTACACAATTAAATAAAATGTATAATCTTTGTTAATCTATTTGGGATACACTAATTGTTTATGGCAATTAAGCTATATTGATCTGCTAAAACTAACCTTAGGTCTTGGTGGCAGATCTTCTTTAGCAATCTCAGGTAACCCTGTTTCATGAGCTATACCCTAAAAAAGATATTATAATATATATATCAAGGGGCTGGAGTTAAAAGAATTAGTTTATCAAAAAGTTTATCAAACACATTATAGTTTCAATGTTAAAATAATAAATTTCTTTTGGAAGAAATAGTACTTTTATAAGTAATAATATAATATAATATAATATAACAGTTATTCCATAATTAAAAAAACAAGAGACATGATGCATTAAGAAATCCTGACTTTTCATGTTATTGTTGATGATTTTATTCGATTTGACCCTTATTAGTGCTCTCTATTATTTAAGTATTTGTTAAAGTTATCATGATTCTTATTTTTTCAGTATGATAATATTACCAACTATAAAACTTGGCAAAAGTGACTTGTACAAACCTCAGCAGTAACTCTCCTGTACCTTGCTCGTCCTGGTAAAATATCATAAACTTCCTGAAAAAAAAAAGATATAAATAAATAAAATAAAGTAACAGAGTAAAAATCCATGGATTATTAACTGATAAATATCCTTTTCAACAAGAGCAATATATTACTAAGTTGTTTTGATGACAAGACCATGACTGGATCATGCTGCCAAGTAATTTATATCACAATTCCTTAGCCATAAGTCACTAATTCATTAAGATAATTGTCTTGGCTAATGTATGGTACTATGGTGTGCAAGAGAGTGGGCACTCTTAATTAACTGTATTTTCACTTGATTAATACCTGATATATTAATCATATGGAAAATATAAGTCCCACGCTGGTAAACTGCTGAATAGCACATAATTTTACAAACAGAGACTCCAGCTTTGAATTATTTAGCTCAGTTTGCTAACACTTTTTTAAATATATATAATGAACGAGTAAAATAAAGAGTCTCCTTTCCTGCAAACAGAAACAAATCAACTCAATTCATGACAAACTGCAAACTATGATACTGGTGAGCATTTAAGTCTGCTTAAATGAGGAAGCATCCAATTCCTAGTGATAAGTTGATTTATATACATGTACATACGTGCAATCAGAAGACTTACTGTGGCAACCAGCATGTTAGTGGCTGTGTTGATCAGCCTTTCAGCCTCCGTCTTGGAGAGATTGTGGGGAGGAACACTTCTGAGGATGGGATACCCACCGTGGTGGGGTCTGGAACAGAAAACCATAGCATGAACACATGCCCCATATTTTTATTTTGGTGCCTACACTAACACAAACATATTCCAATTTTGCTACATATATGTACATCTTGCATAATTCATTAAAACTTTTACTGTCTTTCTGGGAGAAAAACTCAACTAATCATGTCAAATTCAGACAAACAAAACAGACATGTAAAGTTTATCCATACACTGTAAACTATGTCAATGAAAATCCATAGATTTTATATTCATTATATATGTTACAAACCTGCGTGTTTTCCTGAGTCCCTTCCCAAATCCCAACAGCTGAGAACGTATTTTTCTCCCCACCCTGGGAGTGTACTCATAGGCTGCCTCTGGTAGCCAGGGATGCTGGAATGAAAATAATTTTAACTGTTAGCAATTTTTATGTTATTAGACTTATTGTTCAAAGAAACAAATGGCCATATTGAATTTGGTTAAATTCATACCTGTTCAATTTTGCTTGTAAATGTTTGTAGTATTTTGTTGATTAATCTTTTTATCAATAAATGGTAATATAAATATATCTGATTCTACCTCTAAAGTCCACTGTAAGGTTCATGCATGTCATCTCTCAAAATAATCAACAGACTGAACATAACAGAGGTGTGTATAAGAGATCAATCTAAACACAACTCAATTAAAATGGTCAGTTAATTAGCAAGGCTGTTTGCTGATCATTTCAAATTGGAGTACATAACAAGTATTCAAGACAAAAAAAAAGAAAAAATAATAAAATAACAAGACCCTAATTAATATAAATGCAAGGTGTGCCATGGAAGAAATAAAGCAGTAATGCACTGAAAAAGAAACCACTTTAATCCCAAGAGAGGTAATCTGCCTTGATTACTAGAGGTAGCATGCTATACAAATGTGATTGATAGCTCCTCTGAGATTTTTACATGATCTTTTTGATTCCTAATTATTGCAGCATGTTTAAATTGACATGTAAATACCAGCTGTCTTTCAATATAGATATAAAACTAGCAATAATAACCTCCTAAAAGTATTGCTCTCTACATTTCAAAGCTTTGCCTTAGACTTATTTTAAATAGTTCTGATAGTTCCGTAAAATGAGGCAAATAATAACATATAGAGATGTGCAAGTGTGCCAAATGTGCAAGCTGACTGGAAGCAAGTTCAACATCTAAAGAACTACTTTTGTGACACCTCTACAAAATAAAAGAAAGGTTATAAAAGTGCCTGCAATTGTTTGAGTAAAAATGCACTTTAGGTTACAATAAAAGGCTAAGTTTTTTTCTAACATTTGGTTATTTTTCAAAACATGTCTGAAAATATTTGAGACCCATTACACTTTTGCAAATATGATTAAATTAACTTCTTAGATATAAAATATGACCTTTAAATCAAACTTCAAGAAACCACTTAAATGAAACTACATGTATACCCATGTAACCTCTTTTACCCAGCAAACAAAACATTTCAAAATAAAAAGGTTTCTATATACCAACAGATATTTCAGGATAAATGAAATACACTGGTGCTGAATGTGATAAGCCTAAATGGTGTGAACCAAAAGATTTGCAAGGTGGGTTAACATCTAGGATAAAAACAGCGGTTCCAGGAGTCACTGTGGGCCACATGTCCCTTCCATCCCCCCTTCTCTCCGGTAGTTCCCTCTTCTCCTTTAACAACATAGCAAAAAGAGACAAAATCAAGTTATTTTTTTATCCCTGTACCCTACATATCATACCAGTGAAATGGTCCATATTTACTATTTCATAACTGCAGATCTAGATTGGAGCAAGCCAAATATTTGTCCCCCCCCCTGCCCCCTCCCCTCCCACCCTCAAAGCAAAATCCTGGATCCGCAAGTGGAAAACACAATAACTGTGGAGTTATGAACGTATTAATATTGCCAGTGAGTGCCATACAGAGTAGTTCTGAACTTTACCTTTTCTTTACCACCACCTGCTGATTCTGCAGGCGATTGGGATTTCTGCTATCATACACAAAAAATGAAATGAACAAATAAAAAACATGTTGGAATCATGCAAAAAAAACCCTAAGATTTAGTACTGCACTTGTTGATAAAACACTCATCAAATATCCAACATACCCATATTCATAATGCCATTGTCTGTGAAGATATTTATTACAGCATAAGCGCTGGATGAGACCTCTATTCATGTATCATTGCAACTGTTTGTGCTGATAAGTGCTAAGCTAGAAGCTGCCACATGCATTGTAAATGAATATAATACACAATTTACAGAACTTCTGCACCACTGTGACCTGCAAAACATTTTGCCAGACAAAACAGTGATTAAAAATTGACTTCACGCACATGGGACCATCAGTTGAATGCACTTACAATAAATCTATGCCTTGCCATGTGATGGTCCACCTTCCTTCTTACCACATGCTCTTTGGATACTTTATCCCTGGATCTGGGCTAAAAAGGATAAAAAAGATTGCAAAATTAAATTATGCCATGCAGAATGATGTACAAAAATATTTGTTATGTGAATATAAGAGTTGCTATATTACAACCACTTTAAATAATTCCCTCATTTAATATTTAATTTATATGCAAATATGATTCAAGATTCATCCACATGACTTCCTATCACCACAAGAAATTATGTTATTATTCAATTTTAACAGTGCAATAATTGTTTTTTTTTTACTATTAGCATGAACAATGTAAATGTAGCATAAAAATTCTATCAAGGCACATGCAGTATTTACGTGCCTTCTATTAAGTGGTTTCTAAAATAAAATCTGCTTACCGAAGTCATGTTTGTTATGGCCTGTCTAACCTTTGGATCATGGAAATAATGTTTCACAGGCTTGTCGTGAAGTCCATCATACTGCAAGGTGGCTCTCTGAAATGAAGGATACATTATATAATTGTCAGTATAGTGTCTCATCATAGGTTATATTTCAAAAATTTTCCAAACTAATTAGGATGCTCATTTAACTGTATTGCATGCATCATAACTATCACAACAGAGAGAAAAAAAAGCAAAAATATCTAAAACAAATTGACTGCAAGTTTTAAATTTTCTTGCAATGAAGGTCTGCTTCAATTTTTACATAATTCTTTTGAAGGCAATACTAGTTCAGTATTGCATGTAGTCAGACCACTAAATATCCACAGTGCAATATATGCTGGTAGCTATCCATTTAAAAAACAACTGCATAATGACATTCCTTATGGCCAACTTGGGAATGAAGAGATGTTTAATTTGTAGACAATATAACGGCAATTACATTGTAACCAACTTAGTAACATAATATTCATAAAATATTGATTGATATGATAGTGTGCACCTGTCTTACAGTCCCAATCATCAAAGAATATCTAGATTACAATCAATACTGTACTTACATCAGCATCATGGTTAACCAGACAAATGCATTAAGATGTCAAATCATTGATTTAAGTATCTGACTGCAACATTTATATGATAGGTAGCTTTTGAAGTATGGAGATCAAACTAAGTCACAGAATGAAATAAACTGCTCTCATAAGATTATCAACAATACCAGGACTGTGCATATGTAAAGTGCATGTGTTATTGTCAGTGTTTTAAAACACAGGCTTCTAACAAAAAAAAAAAAAAAAACACACTGAGCTCATAGTTTTTTAGATGTCCTGTTAGTTGCCAGTTGCAAATCCTTGAAACTTTGTTTATTCTAGTACTTCAATCTGTCTACTTGAGGATTAAAGGTGGAGTCCCTTACTAGTCTATAAACCTGCATGATAGATATTGTTTTAAATGCTAGCTGAATCATGGATTTGTCCTTGATATTATTAAATCCTAATTAATGTCTGACTTCTCATTTGGGAAACCCATAAAGTAAGTGTTGCACCTGTCTTGTTGATGGTTCTGGGCACACAAAACTTTGCATATTTAGTACACTTGGCATCTCTCTGTTTCTCTCATGCAAATCTATAAACACACACACACACACACACACACACACACACACACATGTAATGGTACAACAATAGTAAGGCATGCAGACTTCTATTTGATTTATATTTGACTTACTGGCTTAAGATGGGGATGGTCAAGCCTTGGACAGTTAGGTCCAGACAGGTCAAACCCATCTTCTCTCCTCTTGACCTCAAAGTAGTATTTTCTGGAACAATTTAAAAAAAAAACTGTAAAATACTTGTAAATTTCATGATCATCATGTGAAATTAATAATACATAACAAACAGAAATTTGATAAGCATACCTTAGCTGAAAGCAATAGACATGAAATTATCTTTTTTACTCAACATTTACACCTGCAAAAATATTAAACTTTTAAGTAAGTTAATTTTCAAGATGACATATCCACTTCAATGCAACTTAAAATAATAATAATAATAATAACATCAAATTCTTTGAGATCATGTAAATTAAATAAATTTAAGTATACCCATTCTACGGGTACACTTTTCAGGGCAAGTGGTATGCATTTAATTTTCCAGAATAGTGAACAGTTAAACAGAATTAACAATTGGTACTAGGGCAGGATTTGTCATCTACAAGAGCACACCTAAAAGTCAATCTTCCATTATATAATATAATGAAATTGACTGCAGATACATCCCTTAACGCAGATACACTCCACTGCCGAATAACACAAAACTTTATATTTTAAACATCTGTACTCACAATTTTTTCGCAACTGTCTTGACAACAGCGTCGTGAGACATCTTGAATTATCAACTGTTCCTTATCTGTATATACTAAGTCATGAAAATCTACTCCATCTTGCTGGCAGAATGTCCCCGGTGTTTTGGAGCTGTTGTTGAGAGACTCTACACAGCGTATATCAACAAATATGCATGCGCGGGGCACCTGTTCCTGAAATAAGTCCCTCTTATTTGTAGCCATCATTTTCAGTTTTGTATCCCAATAGCACATGTAGCTTCATGTGAGAAAAGAAAATATACGCAATTCACATCATAAATAATAAATTGGATAATTTACATTTCTGTAAAGAATTCCTTTCTTCCACATTAACGTAGCGGATGAATATTGGTTACTAGGAAGAGTAATATATTTGACCTAGTTGAAACCTGCATGCGGTTTCCATCCAATCAAATTGATTAGGCAAGGCTACATTCAAACTTGAGACGTGCGCGGCATATTTTAAATAGATCACTAATGAAAGCAAGGAAATAACTTATATATCAAACAAAAACGTAAATTGCTATTAGTGTGGACAGAATAAGAACCAGATAAGTTAAAACAAATTGTTAAGATCTCTTACAAAATAGAAAATATATATCTGCTATTTTCACTGGAGTCCATATAGTTTCGGATCACTCTTAGTTTGCTATGCTACTGACCTACTTTCGAACTTCAGTCAACAAGTCACAGTCAACATTAGTCAATACAAGACTTGCAGAGATTAGATTCCTATTCTATCTATTTGAAGACAGCTATATGGCTTCTCCAATATATGATCCGGTAAGGTGTATATCTGTGCTTATATAGTTTCTGTATGTTAATTTAAAACTGCGAGTATTTTAACCTTTAGAGTTCTATTCGTTCACTTTCATACTTTCACTTCCGCGTTTCTTGTGTCAAGCATATTTGTACCTTTGCGAACTATTACTATATATGTTGGAAATGAAATAAATATTTTGATTTTATGATAATAAATTACCTTAGTTTATTGAACAATGCAGTGTTTGAGTTATTTTGAGAAGCTCCGTTATATATTTCATATTTTTAGCTTTACTGCTAATTTTAAGTGCATAACTGAGGACTGATTAAGTCTATTTCCCCATGATGAGTTAGTTTTTCACTTTTAAGTGAATGTAAAAGTTGTCATTTGTGATGGTTTTCAAATCAGTGGTTTGCAGTTTCGCTATTTATGATATAATATGTTAAAGCTAAATGACATCATATATATATATATATAGTAAGTTATGTATGTCCCCTTTATTATAGCCTACCCCATGCAGCAACCCTATCCCAGGCGGACTGACACCTGGTAAGATGATCTTCCTCAAAGGTCACATTCCACACAGAGCCAACAGGTAGGAATTGTGTTTGTGAAGCAGTACACACTAAAGAGAAAGAGTATTTTATGAACATTTTTTCCTTTTGGGTAAGATTCTGTCAATGGTGAAATGACAGTAGTGATTTTTTACTATTTTCAATTTGTCCCAAGTTTTAATTTGCAGCTGTTCACAATCTTACATAAAATGTTTAATTTTTTTAATCCCAGCTTTAATGATGCACATAAGCATGTCAAGCTGAAACATTCTAGGTGTTGTTATAATGTCTATTTTGAGGTGTCAAAATGACATGAACTTTCACTCTGTCCAAAGCTCTTAATTCTTAATTGCTGGCGTAAGAATGCATTTTATACATCAAGTGATTCACTCAAGCAAGAAATTACAAATAAATTACTAGGGAGCATTCACAACCAGTTAGTTCGTGGATTAAATATGACANTCATACACAAAAAAATGAAATGAAAAAAAAAAAAACATGTTGGAATCATGCAAAAAAAAAAAAAAAAAAAAAAAACCTGAGATTTAGTACTGCACTTGTTGATAAAACACTCATCAAATATCCAACATACCCATATTCATAATGCCATTGTCTGTGAAGATATTTATTACAGCAGAAGTGCTGGATGAGACCTCTATTCATATATCATTACAACTATTTGTGCTGATAAGTGCTAAGCTAGAAGCTGCCACATGCATTGTAAATGAATATAATACACAATTTACAGAACTTCTGCACCACTGTGACCTGCAAAATATTTTGCCAGACAAAACTGTGATTAAAAATTGATTTCACGCACATAGAACCATCAGTTGAATGCACTTACAATAAATCTATGCCTTGCCATGTGATGGTCCACCTTCCTTCTTACCACATGCTCTTTGGATACTTTATCCCTGGATCTGGGCTAAAAAGGATAAAAAAGATTGCAAAATTAAATTATGCCATGCAGAATGATGTACAAAAATATTTGTTATGTGAATATAAGAGTTGCTATATTACAACCACTTTAAATAATTCCCTCATTTAATATTTAATTTATATGCAAATTTGATTCAAGATTCATCCACATGACTTCCTATCACCACAAGAAATTATGTTATTATTAAATTTTAACAGTGCAATAATAGTTTGTTTTTTTTTACTATTAGCATGAACAATGTAAATGTAGCATATAAATTCCATAAAGGCACATGCAGTATTTACGTGCCTTCTATTAAGTGGTTTCTAAAATAAAATCTGCTTACCGAAGTCATGTTTGTTATGGCCTGTCTAACCTTTGGATCATGGAAATAATGTTTGACAGGCTTGTCATGAAGTCCATCATACTGCAAGGTGGCTCTCTGAAATGAAGGATACATTATATAATTGTCAGTATAGTGTCTCATCATAGGTTATATTTCAAAAATTTTCCAAACTAATTAGGATGCTTCATTTAACTGTATTGCATGCATCATAACTATCACAACAGAGAGAAAAAAAAAAAGCAAAAAATATCTAAAACAAATTGACTGCAAGTTTTAAATTTTCTTGCAATGAAGGTCTGCTTCAATTTTTACATAATTCTTTTGAAGGCAATACTAGTTCAGTATTGCATGTAGTCAGACCACTAAATATCCACAGTGCAATATGTGCTGGTAGCTATCTATTTAAAAAACACCTGTATAATGACATTCCTTATGGCCAACTTGGGAATGAAGAGATGTTTAATTTGTAGACAATATAACGACAATCATATTGTAACCAACTTAGTAACATAATATTCATAAAATATTGATTGATATGATAGTGTGCACCTGTCTTACAGTCCCAATCATCAAAGAATATCTAGATCACAATCAATACTGTACTTACATAAGCATCATAGGTAACCAGACAAATGCATTAAGATGTCAAATCATTGATGTAAGTATCTGACTGCAACATTTATATGATAGGTAGCTTTTGAAGTATGGAGATCAAACAAAGTCACAGTACGAAATAAACTGCCCTCATAAGATTATCAACAAGACCAGGACTGCTCATATGTAAAGAGCATGTGTTATTGTCTGTGTTTTAAAAAAAAACACAGGTTTCTAAAAAAGAAACACACACACACAAACACACACACTGAGCTCATAGTCTTTGAGATATCCTGTTAGGTGCCAGTTGAAAATCCTTGATACTTTGTTTATTCTAGTACTTCAACCTGTCTACTAGAGGATTAAAGGTGGAGTCTCTTACTAGTCTATAAACCTGATAGATATTGTTTTAAAATGCTAGCTGAATCATGGATTTGTCCTTGATATTATTAAATCTTAATTAATCCCTTACTAGTCTATAAACCTGATATATATTGTTTTAAAATGCTAGCTGAATCATGGATTTGTCCTTGATATTATTAAATCTTAATTAATGTCTGACTTCTCATTTCAGAAACCCATAAAGTAAGTGTTGCACCTGTCTTGTTGATGGTTCTGGGCACATATGCAGATCACTTAAAACTTTGCATATTTATAAAACTTGGCATCTCTTTGTTTCTCTCATGTACACAAACACACACCTTTAAACACACACACACACACACACACACCTAATGGTACAACAATATTAAGACATGCAGACTTCTATTTGATTTATATTTGACTTACCGGCTTAAGGTGGGGATGGTCAAGCCTTGGACAGTTAGGTCCAGACAGGTCAAACCCATCTTCTCTCCTCTTGACCTCAAAGTAGTATTTTCTGGAACAATTAAAACATTAACTGAAAAATACTTGTAAAATTCATGATAATCATGTGAAATTAATAATATATAGCAAACAGAAATTTGAAAAGCATACCTTAGCTGAAAGCAATAGACATGAAATTATCTTTATTACTCAACATTTACACCTGCAAAAATATTAAACTTTTAAATAAAATAATTTCCAAGATGACATATCCACTTCAATGCAACTTAAAATAAAAATAATAACATCAAATTCTTTGTGATCATGTAAATTAAATAAATTTAAGTATACCCATTATACGGGTACACTTTTCAGAGCAAGTGGGTATGCATTTAATTTTCTAGAATAGTGAACAGTTAAATAGAATTAACAATTAGCACTAGGGCAGGATTTGTCATTTACAAGAGCACACCTAAAAAAAGTCAATCTTCCATTATACTGTATAATATAATGAAATTGACTGCGACTGCAGATACATTCCTTAAAGCAATAATAACTCTTTGTTTCGGCCAAAAAATGAATTTTCCTGGAGTAAACAACAATTTTCCCATACTTACCAATGGTTAATGAATCCATTTTTACATTCAAAGTTAGTCCCTGGTTTTTTTCTAAAAAGTTTGGTTTTTTGTTAAAATCTCTTAAGAGATTATAACAGAGTATAGACATCAATGGAGGTCACGTGGTCTAAAGACAAGTTCAGATATCAGAATAAAAGCTATAACTGCTGTTTTTGTGGTAAAACAGAATATATTATATTTCTATGAGTTATTCACAAGGTTTTTATTGTGAAATATAGATCTCATAGAAGAGTTATTATCCCTTTAACTTAATTAGCACTGTCGAATAACACAAAACTTTATATTTTAAACATCTGTACTCACAATTTTTTCGCAACTGTCTTGACAACAGCGTCGTGAGACATCTTGAATTATCAACTGTTCCTTATCTGTATATACTAAGTCATGAAAATCTACTCCATCTTGCTGGCAGAATGTCCCCGGTGTTTTGGAGCTGTTGTTGAGAGCCTCTACACAGCGTATATCAACAAATATGCATGCGCGGGGCACCTGTTCCTGAAATAAGTCCCTCTTATTTGTAGCCATCATTTTCAGTTTTGTATCCCAATAGCACATGTAGCTTCATGTGAGAAAAGAAAATATACGCAAGTCACATCGTAAATAATAAATTGGATAATTTACATTTCTTTAAAGAATTCCTTTCTTCCACATTAACGTAGCGGATGAATATTGGTTACTAGGAAGAGTAATATATTTGACCTAGTTGAAACCTGCATGCGGTTTCCATCCAATCAAATTGATTAGGCAAGGCTACATTCAAACTTGAGACGTGCGCGGCATATTTTAAATAGATCACTAATGAAAGCAAGGAAATAACTTATATATCAAACAAAAACGTAAATTGCTATTAGTGTGGACAGAATAAGAACCAGATAAGTTAAAACAAATTGTTGAGATCTCTTACAAAATAGAAAATATATATCTGCTATTTTCACTGGAGTCCATATAGTTTCGGATCACTCTTAGTTTGCTATGCTACTGACCTACTTTCGAACTTAGTCAACAAGTCACAGTCAACATTAGTCAATACAAGACTTGCAGAGATTAGATTCCTATTCTATCTATTTGAAGACAGCTATGGCTTCTCCAATATATGATCCGGTAAGGTGTATATCTGTGCTTATATAGTTTCTGTATGTAAATTTAAAACTGCGATTATTTTAACCTTTAGAGTTCTATTCGTTTACTTTCATACTTTCACTTCCGCGTTTCTTGTGTCAAGCATATTTGTACCTTTGCGAACTATTACTATATGTTGGAAATGAAATAAATATTTTGATTTTATGATAATAAATTACCTTAGTTTATTGAACAATGCAGTGTTTGGGTTATTTTGAGTAGCTCCGTTATATATTTCATATTTTTAGCTTTACTGCTAATTTTAAGTGCATAACTGAGGACTGATTAAGTCTATTTCCCCATGATAGGTATATCAGAAAAATTTTCAAACTGATCAGAAAATTAAAATACTTATATCATCTGAAAGGTAATGCAAAAACCGGATGAAATCATTTGGAATTTTTTAAATATTCCTACAAGCAACAAAGATATTGAAGTTTTTTAACTGCAAAAATCCACCAAAAGTGTCCACACTTCTCAGCTCAAAACCTGTGCCCACTGACCAGCAGTGATCACTCAGGCGCAGCAGAGCACCCTGTGTGTCTTTGTGTGCTCAGCCTATTGTCTGGCTCACATAGCCTGTGACTAATCAGGGCAGAGCTATTTCCCTGTGGTAATTTTCACATCATGTAATATTGCGGATTAAATTAACTATACTTCGCAACCTTCAAATTTCATGATTTTTCTACATAATATAGCAAATTTCATAAACTTTGCTGGATATAAATTTCAAAAAGATGATACCAGCACTTACCTGAAATTTTTTAGCATTTTGTAGAGGCAAAACTTAAAACAAGCAGAACCGAAACTTGTCAAAGACTGCAACATGGGAAAATCATGTGACCGGATTTTACTCTTTGATTTACAACTTATTTAGTTAATGGCTTGTATTAGTTTTTTTACGCAGCGCTAAAAGAGAGATTTAAAAAAGGGGTTCCATAGGCGAACTGTCAGCAGGCCGACTTCAGTTTAACACTTCACTGCCCGTGGACAGTTACGACTGTAGCGCCCCTAGCGGATTGTGATCTACCTACCCATGATGAGTTAGTTTTTCACTTTTAAGTGAATGTAAAAGTTGTCATTTGTGATGGTTTTCAAATCAGTGGTTTGCAGTTTCGCTGTTTATGATATAATATGTTAGAGCTAAATGACATCAAGTTAACAACAAAATATCCTTGATTTTTACTCAAAAGACGTTCTCTATGCACGAAATTCTGATTCTCTTTGCACGAAATTCATGTTATAGCACTTTTATTGATATGTACTTGCTGTGCTAGTGCATGGAAACAAATGACTCAGAAAGAGTATAATGAAGACTAGTTTGTGCACCTGCCATGGCGCAGGAGTTCTCAAATTTTTATCTTACCTCTCATCTCCTCAACTTGCACACTCCTGTCAAGCCAACCAGTTTTCCCATCAACAGAGATGTGGGTAAGGTTATATTCATCTGCTTGTTTACCAGTTTGGTCATCATGAAATCGTACAAAAATCCTGGATGGGAGAATCAAATGGCCATGATGAACAGCTTTCTTCTAATCTTGCAAGATTCACCAACCTCAAAGTCTCTTATAATCAAGTTGCTTATGGAACTTATATTGAATTTGATTCTGCTCAATAGGTTGCTTCCTGGAGGGAAAAATTTTTCAGAAGTCCATTTTGGTTTATTTTTGCAGTTGCTTGATTTTGCATGTTTAGATACATGTTATATATATATTAGTTATGTATGTATAAGTTATGTATGTCCCCTTTATTATAGCCTACCCCATGCAGCAACCCTATCCCAGGCGGACTGACACCTGGTAAGATGATCTTCCTCAAAGGTCACATTCCACACAGAGCCAACAGGTAGGAATTGTGTTTGTGAAGCAGTAGACACTAAAGAGAAAGAGTATTTTATGAACATTTTTTCCTTTTGGGTAAGATTCTGTCAATGGTGAAATGACATTAGTGATTTTTTACTATTTTCAATTTGTCCCAAGTTTTAATTTGCAGCTGTTCACAATCTTACATAAAATGTTTAATTTTTATTTCCAGCTTTAATGATGCACATAAGCATGTCAAGCTGAAACATTCTAGGTGTTGTTATAATGTCTATTTTGAGGTGTCAAAATGACATGAACTTTCACTCTGTCCAAAGCTCTTAATTCTTAATTGCTGGCATAAGAATGCATTTTATACATCAAGTGATTCACTCAAGCAAGAAATTACAAATAAATTACTAGGGAGCATTCACAACCAGTTAGTTCGTGGATTAAATATGACATGACCCACAAGTCTGCAGATGAACTTATTGTGAATGCTCCCTTAGTGTGGATAGTTCTCTGCAGACCCTGGGTCATACCCTTCCCTTCTTGTATACCAGAATAGTTTAGGAAAGGTTCATGCAGATGGTAATGTTAAAATATATTATATATATGACCATGTTGAGGTTATGCTGCTATCTGGGTGTCGTACACTGTATAATGAACATAATTAGTCTTCTAGTTTTTGGACTCCATATTTTATGCCAGAACTTTTGTTGTTTATTAGAATTAGATATAAAATCGTTTTTACCTGTTTTTTTTTTCACAATGAAACATTTCACTCTCTTTGATTACTTTCTGGGGAAATAATTCCTTGCTTAGTTCATAATTTTTCTGCAATTTAAGAAAAGTTTCTGCATGTATTTTCCAGGTGGTCCTTCAACTTGCAAAGTGGGCCCAATCCAGAAAGTGATGTGGCGTTCCATTTCAACCCAAGGTTTGAGGGAACTAATCAAGTAGTGAGGAATCACCGTCAGTCTGGCAGTTGGGGGCAGGAGGAGAGGCAGGGAGGGTTTCCATTTGTACAGAACACAGACTTTGAGTGCATTATTCTGGTGCAGCATGACTGCTACAAGGTAGAAATGGTCAAGTTAACCTTGACATCATTTATTATGTGTGCTATTTTTTAAGGTTTAATTTTTTATTATTAGATCTCCAAATTTAGTGATAAATTTGTTCATGCTTTAAATACATGATTGTATTTTTACCATTATCTGGCAAAGGATCATTTGGTTGTGGTTTAATTTTTATATACAAAGACTGAAACACAGGAGGATGCATTTTTTTAAATTAGGGTTGACTGGTCTCTATAAACAAATATTAGTATGTACTAATGCTTTCCATGTCATAGTTGAATTTTTTATAGGTTGCAGTCAATGGAAAGCACTTCATAGAATTTAAACACCGAATGTCTAAAGACAGGGCAACCTTCCTGAGAATAGAGGGTGATGTAAAAATAAGAAACATTGCTTTTCAAGGAGGCTCAGTAAGTATATATTATCTTTGCACTGTCTGTGTAGCAAAATGTTTAACCTCAGTAAATTTTATATTGCACAATGCAGTATGTAACATCTGTATTATCATTGTATGGAGTGTACCTATTAATCACATTGATTTAAATATAGCTTATATTTCTCCAGGTTCCCTCTATGCCACCAGGAGGATATGCTCCACCCACAGGGGCCTATGCCCCTCCCATTGGTGGGTATGGCCCACCTCCTCATGGGGGATGGGCCCCACCCCCTTCAGGAGGATATGCGCCATCTTGCGGATTCATTCCACCACCTGAATTTAATCCTCCTGTAAGTTACAAAAAGTGACTAATGATTTTTTAAATTTTATTTTATATTAATTGATTTATGAAAAAATAGAATCTTGCATTTGACCATGTGACTTGTNTTGCATCAGCATTGGCAGTAGCATATTTTATGCATTGTTATTTCCTGCTTTTTGTCTGTACATTTGACAGCTTTGCTGCCTTGTCTAACCTTCATGACAGATGGATTGTCCCCTCAACCCTGTTAACCACCCTGCATCTCCTTTTTGAGTGGTCTTAAATTCCTGCATATATATAAGTTGCAGTATTCCTTAACACATTTTTTGACTGACAAAAATTGTGTCATTCTTTTACCTGAAATTTGTAAAACATTTTTGACAAACAATTTAAGGCATTGCTGCCCAGTGTATGGTTTGTACATTTAGAACAGCCACAACAGAGAAAGTAAAGTTGCCACATTATATTGCTTCCATATTTGTCAGACGTAAGCAGTTTATTCTGTTGACATGTACATGTACTATAATATTTCAGGGAACATCTTTCCCAGGGAGTGGGTATCCTCCCCAGCCAGTTTATAACCCAGTGAGTTATTGCCATTTTTTTTATAATTTATGGATATTCTTTCTCTCTCTTTCTCTCTCTCTCTCTCTCTTTTACAGAGAAAGGATAAAGTTAAAGAAACCCGTATTCTTGACAGACTAGAAATGTGCAATCTTGGGTTGAACTTATTTCCGTCAAGTTCTGCCTATCACAGTGCCTGTATATATTTCAGTTAGTAATAGTTGTACTATTTCAGAGAGTACCCTACAGCCAACACATCCCAGGAGGGATGTATCCTGGCAGGATGATATTCATCAGTGGCACCCCAAACATGAACCCCTCCAGGTAGGGCAACTAGCTTTGGCATACCTGTACAGCTTTTAAGCTTTTAACTTAAAAGTGTGAAAGTAGAGAATCATTTTATACAGTCTGCACACATCTGTCATGGTTCCAGTATATGTATGCCTGGGTTTCAGCAGTTTAAGTACTGTCTGAAAAAAGTTAGTAACTCTAGATAACTTTTTAAAGCACAGTAAGCTTTCTGCTATAATTGCAGTCTTGTTCTCACAGACAAACTGATTGTTAGAAAATGTCAAGTGTTTTATGGGTGTTATAATGAAGAAAATCCTGAATTCTGTTTTCATTTCCCCAGGTTTCACATCAACCTGCAGTGTGGTCAGCACAGCGGCTGTGACATAGCTTTGCACTTTGATGTCAGGTTTAGCTATGGCAGTAATTACAATGTGGTGGTGCGCAATTCCCAACAAGGTGGAGGCTGGCAAAATGAGGAACGCTCTCATCCATACTTCCCTTTTGCTGCTGGGGCTAATTTTGATGTTGTGATTTTATGTGAGCAACAATGCTTCAAGGTTATTATCACAGTTTTAATATTTTGAATTGATCTTTATGTATTTAAGGAATCTTTATGTATTAAAGGCCTTTTTTACATTGAGTGTTATATCTTGGCAACACCAGTATGTTTTAAGAGATAGGCAACTAAATAATAGCCTGGCTATTATGTAAGAAATTGAGCCTTCCCCACACTCAGAATGGCTAATTTTCTATTAACAACATCAAGTAAAATCCTGCAGAAGTTGTGAAAGGGAGTACCAGTGATATCCCTGTAGCATAGTTATGTGGTAGAACCTCAAAACAGCTGCATTAAGAAGTTATAATACTTGATGTGAAAAGGCCTTTAAGCTTTTCCTATAGATTATTTGAGGTATATATAGAGTGTTACTAAACTGAATTGGAAAGTCTGAAAAGGAAACTATTATTTCACAATTGAAATAATCAAAATTACCAAGTTACAAATACTAGTTCGTATATATTGTAAATCTTGTTTATTTCAGGTGGCAGTAAACAACCAGCACTTCATTGAGTTTGCTCATCGCATACAGCCACCCACACTTGCTGACACCTTGGCAATAGATGGTGATGTCAGAATCACGTCAGTCCGTGTACAGTAAATGAGTCCTGTAAGTTAATTCAGATCTACTGGTATAGTGCCTTAATTGGATTCCCAGTGTATTTAATTAAAAGTAAAAGCCACCTTTAAATAATATAACACTGTCTAGTGGTTAAGGTAGTGTCCTTATGTTACACTGTGTAACAGCATCATGCATTAATGCCTTTTTTGTTGCACATTGCATCAGCAGCTAGCAATCTGATGATCTAGCAATACTTGGATGTTGAAATAAACAGGCTGGCTAAAATTGCATCACAAAATGCTTTTCAATAAAGATTATTCTCAATTTTAATATTTAAGTATTTAAACAAAATATCAGCAGATAGCATGGCGAGTTTTGTCATTGAAAATGCTTTGCTTGTAAAGAAAACTTTAAAAATGTGCAAAGAAAGTAGAAAATATCAGGTTTATTCTAAAACAAGTTGCCATAGCAACAAAATTGACATGGGTTCCCATTACTTTTTCACTCTTTCTGGTTTTGCTATATACTGGTGGCCTAGTGTGGTGAATCAAGTCTATGAAAGCACTGTACCTGCAAAGAAAACTTCAAAAATGTACCAAGAAAATGAAAAAAAATCAGTTTTATCCTAAAACAAAATGCCATAACAACAAAAATTGCATGGGTTCCTAGCAATTTTTTTCATTTATGTCTAACATATGTACTGAAGATCAGGTGTAGGAGATATGGACTATGAGTGCACATCAACTGAAGAAAATTGAAAATACATGCAAAAATAAATAAATTTCCCATGGTGTACTCTAGTATTTGAATCCAAAGTTATTAGCAACAAAACTAACATAGGTACGTATCACTTTTTCAAATCTTATATGTATGCAATAATGTAAAATGTCTATCAGACAAATATACCATAAGGACATTACCTTAAATGGCTAAGACACGGATGCTGTGGTTGCCTGTACTTATTTCTTTTTATAGGAGTTTGTAAATTCATACAAAAATTCATTCATATGTGAAAAAAAAGCGTCCTCTTTTGCATATGACATTGTTTCATGGTTGAAGATACGTACTCTTATACCACTCAGATTTGAAAGCAGTGAACCTTTTTTTTTCAGATGGAGCCCCTGTCAGTGCCATGAATTGTGTACTGTGCTGTTAATTGCCAGGAATGTTGGTTTTAAACTAAATACGGAATCCAGGACCAGAACATTTAGTAAAGCTTATCCGGAAAAAATTTGTGCTAGAAATTCTTTTGATTTAAAAGGGTTGGCTACATAATATAATGAGAAGTTTTGGGCTTTTTCTATCTTCCTGAAGGGATTTAGATATATTTGGCAAAATCCCAATGGATTCTTGCTAGGGCAGGTTGGCAATTTGCCCATGATTTGCATATTCACTGTGACATAAATGCTACAATTTGCTGTGATGATAATCTGTGTAAAATTATCCAGGACATTTGAAAAAAAAAAAGGGTGGGTAATTTATTTCCTATAACTTATAAGTTAAATGTTTTATGCTATATGGGTATGGTGAAATGTTGGTTCTTTGTAGACTGAAAGTGTACATATGTAATACTGGGTAAATATTGAAAATAAAGGAAAGTACCTAACTTTTTGCTCTTTAAGGTACGTATGGGGGGTGTCCATGTACATGTAGTTCTAGTCAAGACCAAATGTGACAAAAAATTACCTTTATAACTTAAGTGCATAAATATCACTAAAAATTCCAATAAACAAATTGTTACAGCTGCCACTTTCAATTATCATGCCTAGATTTTTTGACAGTTGTAAATAGACTTTTTTAATAATAATGATTATGAAATGTAAATGAAAACCTTCACCAGAACCTTTCAAGTTTTCTTTTTTAAAAATAACTAGTTGATTACTAGTGGATGTTTTACTGAAAAAGACCATGAACAATAAATATTGATTTCCGAATAATATTTTATTTGCATTTGAATGTCAGTACATGGTATCTGCAGTTTACTCTCTCTGTCTCTCTCATTTTGCCTCTGCAGTGTCTCTATCTGCTGTAGTTTACCATAAACTGTGTCAAGTCGGAACATAGATTCTGAAGTAGACGTTGTTGTTATACATGTATATAAAATCATATACTGGTAGTAATAGCCATAAAGCTTGTACAGCTTCACAAATTAAAAATACATATACAAAAACTTCACATCTTCACAAAACTAAAATAAAGTCAAAACAAGGCAGCAAAGCTGTCAAATTTACAGACAAAAGGCAGAAAATATTGACTCATAAAATAAGTTATTTTGTCAGACATGATGCAATAATGCATTATGTTTAACAGCAAAATTAGCACCAAAATTTAGTTATGCACAACAGGTAATATGGATATGAGGAATATGTAACTAGCGTGAGGCTGCAGGCTCATTAAATTCAAATTTACAAACTGGAAATGCCAGAATGAGAAAAATGAAAATTTCACCCCAAAAATGTATTAATTCTGTATGTCAGTCCTAAGAATCGATCTTAAAGTTACAAAATTTTTCTTTCATGGCAATTGTGGTGGCAGTGCACAAATTGGCCTTTTTTCGTCAATTTTGATGCACTATTACATACATGAGTAACAGCATAATCACCACCAATTTTTAATTATCTACTATACATAACAGGGATATTCAGAAAGTGTTAGTACCATAAGGCTATATGCCTATGGGAGTTCAAATTCCCACACTGAAAAGCCCAATTTATGGAGGCTGAAAATTTCATTTACAAAAACTAACTTCTAGAAAAAGAATTCAATCAGACTGACTTTCTAATTCGAGCTGTATTCCAATCCTATGAATATATTTTTAAGTTAAAGAATCATAAGTTGCATGGTTTTCCTTTAATGTTCAATATGGCATCAGTGCCAAAAAAAAGTGGTTTCTTCAAATTTGACACAATATTGATGCTTAACAGCATAATCACCATTGGTATTTTTATTATATAAGTATCATGGATATTCAGAAAATATGACTAACAATGACTTTCAAGCCTTGAAAATGCTGTGATGTGAAAAAATGAAAATTGAATTAAAATGCAAATGTACAGAAAAAAAACAGGTTAAAGAATAATAAGTAAAATGTTCTTCCTTTTTCTGTGCTATTGTTATGTCAATTTTGGTACAATATTACTTAATAAGGCATTTAAGGAATTCTGAGAAATTCTGCTTACCTAAGTGCTATTGCCAAGTAATTTATGACCACTTGAGAATTAATGTGGCAAGTAATATAATTAGTTAACATCTCACACCTAGTAATTATACACAAGGGACAACTAAAGACTGATCATGACTAGGCGAAACAATATATCACTGACACAAAGTTGGATTTACAAAATACAACAAATGGTCCAATCATGCTGTTTTTTTTAACTGGGCCAGTTTTTTTAATGAATATTCATCAGTTCTGCAAGCTTGAAGATAATAGGTCAAACAGCGATGACATACAGGTGATGGCTATATGTTCAGACAGGATGTGTCTGCACATAAAAAATTAATTAAAACTGTATAAAAATATATTGGTGTCCATATCATAACAGCTTAACAACATGTATGTGAACCAGCCAGTGGTCCTATGCTTAGCTGTAAAAATGCAGTGCATTGTGTGCAGTGCTTTCAGAGTTCAAATTATAGTTTCCACTTAGTATTTTAAAAAGGTTATGATAATACTGATAAAAATATTAACTGGAGTTCTATGCCATGTCAAAATGTCTTGAATATATATATATATATATATCCTAAATGTTTAAAAACAGTAATCTGTCCTGTTTTACATGTGAGTGGTTGAATTTGCAGAAGGCATAATATACTTTAAGGCAAAAAAACCTGATGAGATATCCCTTAAACTTCACCAAAGGGCACTGATACAAAAGCAGATCACTTGTGTGCAACAGTCACCGAAGGCAAAACTATCTAGATTAATTTGGTAAGAAAAGGCAAACTAAGATTTGTCAAATATATATTGTGCATGGTAAATGCTGCTAGCCCTGTCTCAAAAGTAGTCATGAAAGTGCAGATAACTGCATTGTGTGCAGTGCTTTCAGAGTTCAAGTTATAGTTATTTTTAAAAAGTTATTATAATACTGATAAAATATTAACTGGAGTTCTATACCATGTCAAAATGCTTTGAATATATATATTCCTAAATGATAAAATACAGTAATCTGTCCTGTTTTACATGTAAAAAAAAATGATGATATTCCTTACACTTCACCAAAAAAAAAACAAAAAAAAACACTGATACAAAAGCAGCTGATCACTTGCATGCAACAGTCACCAAGGGCAAAACTATCTGGGATGAATTTGGTAAAAAAAAAAGGCAAACCAAGGTTTGTCAGATATATATTGTGCATGGTAAACACTGCTAGCCTTGTCTCAAAAGTAGTCATCAGACTTCAACTATTTTTATGTACAGACACGTCTTGCTTTGAAGATAGCCTCCAGGAACCATCGTGGATTACAGATAAGAGACTTCACTTTTGGGGGCCACCACTGGGGCACCTGGTTCGTCTTCAGGGGCTGGACTGGTGGGTTCCTCTCTCAATGTCTGGTAATGCTTGCTGTCATGCTCAAACAGAGCATTGTCAAATTCCAGTGTCTATTGAAAACAAAATATACATTTAGACTCTTTCTCCAAAGTTGAAAGTAAGTATCTGTTACTTGCTGTTCTGGTATGGGAATATGTGTCAGAAATTGCCACTGATTTTTGCTGGAACAAGTAGAGGCTGAAAACTAAATGACCCATGACCCTTCACAGTTAAACTCAGCAATATGCACATTTTAATCTAAGGTCCAGTATAATTTAAGTAAAGCTCCCAACACTGTAAATAAATACTTTTTTCCTTCATAATTGAAATATTCATGAACGCAAGCAATTGACCACCATTTCTCCATTTCATGTGGCAGTGAATGCCTCACAATAATGCAAAAGACAATTTAGTATTTTCTCAAAAGTAAAATGTGAAGAAAGAAAAGAAATGAGAAAATAGTAGCATGTACCTGGTCATAGCCAGAATCACTGGGAGCAATGGAGTCCTTGTCCAACTTTTCCTTAGTTCTTTGTCTTTTTTGCTGATACATCTAAAAATAATAATTCAAGATATTTATAAATATACTCAATAACCATAAATTACACTTTTTAAAATCACAAATAAAACTGAAAACATGTAAACTCCAAATTATGTTATTTTTAATTTTCTACTGTAGTATCTTCTGTGAATTGGTATGCATATAAATATTTAATTCTCAAATTTAAAAATAATTGAGATTTCTGAAGTCTCAATAAAAAGGAAAATGTATTTTTTAAAACTTACACAGAATCCTACTACTGAACCCACAAGAGCAAAAACCACACAGACCACCACTGGAATCACCATTTTTATCATCTTTCCCCCATCTGCTCCTGTAGTAGACATTGCTATCTTTGTTCTACCTGGAGCTCTATACTCCATCTGAGCTGACATGGAACCTGGTGCTGCCATGAGCTGATGGTTGTCAAAATTCAAATAGAAATCACCACTGGATATCTGCAATTGTACAGTGTAGTTGGTAAACTTTTACCATGCATTTGTTGCAAAAAGCATATGGAACACACTTGAATTGAAAAATGAAAAAAAAATAGAAACTGTCACGTTTTAATTTTGCCACAATTTTTTTTTTAATTAATATATAACAAAGTTAACACGAGGCGGTTGAAATAGTAATGGTTCATCTGGTACTGCAACTTAAATAGTAAGTTAAATGGCAATATAGTAGTAGTGATATTACCTTTCCACGCAAGTAATAGGAAATGGCTGACATGTCAGAAGAACCATCTCGCAACACAGTGAGTTGGACATGTAACAATTTACTGTTTGGCTTGACTGAGATCTGGAGAGAAAATTTGGGATAAAAATATAATTAAATGATAATCAGATGGCTAAAAAAATATAAAAATATAATTAAATGATAATTGGATGGCTACAAAATTATGCTTATATTAAGAGAGGAAAATTCACATTTGGAATAAAAATATCACTGGATGATAAAAACATGAAGATAGCTACAAATTGTGCTGATATTCATACTTTCTTAGAAACTATCAGGGTCAGTAGATAATGACACACTGACTGTTAATATTGTACTTACTGTGAGGTCTTTTATTTGTGCATTTTTAAGGTCCAAATCATGCATCAAAAACCCTCTCAAAGCACTAGAAGGTAAAATGTTAATCATGAAATGTCTTTATCAATAAGCTGTCTTTCATTTGCTATTATGTAAAAGAAACCTTTGCTAATTCTTTAAGTTTATTGTAGCTCATGTTCATGTGTTCTCACGTCTGATGAACTCATTATAATAATAACTAGGTCATATTAGGATTTTGACCAAAGACATGATGCTGTTTATTCCCAAAAAGTTGCACAAAATCCATGTGCTTTGGTGGAAAAATTGATTGATTGATTGACAACTCTTGAAATTGAAAAAATTGACCTTGCTTAAACCTCAGTGTACCTCTAGTTTCCACACGTGCGCAGTGCTTCAAATTTTTCTTCCGTTTCACCTAAATTACTCATTACTTGCATGTTTGTTTGAAGAAGATGGTTGAAATGACAAATGTACACATTTTTGATAATGTACGTACGTACATTGGCACAAGTACATGCCAGGAAATCAGTTGCGTTTTGTCATACAACTGCTGGTCAAGATTTGGTTTCCTGAGCAAAAAAAAAGTGGTTGCAAAATGCAGAATTGTTAATGTCAAGCCCTGAGTAACAAATTGTTTTTCTATTATTTTGCAAAACTACATGTAAATTTCTTTCTGTCTTGTGGCCCTGGTGTTTATCAAAATTCATTTCCACAAATACCTGGTAAGCCCTGTGATGGAGGCTGATGTCATGCCTGGTGATGCTTGAAGTTCAAACTGAATACGAACTGCAATACTTTTCCTCATCATGCCACACTTCTTGCCATGAGATATTTTCTTCCCCTCTTCATTAACACACCAACACTTTTTATTATTGCACTGAGTGACCTTGAACGTTCCCCTCTTTGTGCAAGCAAGTAGCTGAACCCTTCCACCAACAAGAGCAGTCATCACTGCTACTGCACGTTGTCTCTGACACACTGGGTAGACTGAACAAGAGAGAAAGATTATTAATATAGAAAAATGCTGCTGATCTTCTTCTTTTATAACGATTAAAGAGAAAGGATGAAATTTTAATAATAATTACATATTTATTTAATAAAAATATATTTATCTAAAAACATGTTCTGTAGACTTTTCAAATAAAATACAATACAAATAGAATACAAAGTTAAAAGGATTAATAATTGTTAAAAGGATGTTAGTATTAGAGATAAGCAACTTTGTTATCAATAACCATAACTAGACTGAAATATGCCATGTTTGAATCTTATATAAAAAAAATCATTGAAATTCAATATCACACTTGGGGCCCTTCAATTGTGGTTTAACATGGCAATGTGCTTTTGGAACCCCGGTTTTGATAGATTATCTGAACAATTAACATATTTGTGTGATGCTTTAAATGAATTATATGTTGATGCTGACATCAGATATGAAGGGAAAAGTATTTCAAACGTAAGAAAAATTTGTAATTGATAATTTTTCACCAATGATGTAACCCTACTGAAATATAATATTAAATTTAATAAAACAATCTAAGCATACTTTTGTTGCACTGAATTTCCATTCTGGTGACAATGTCATAGTATTTAGGTTGACAAGTCTGTGGGTCAGGAAGACATATGGCCTCTGGATACTTGTCACATGTCACGTTCATACAAACATTATATGGACAGGCCTTAAGAGGCACTTCTAAAAAAGACAACAAAATAAACTTTATTGTGCATGTTTGTTACGTTGTACTCAACAAATTATTTGCAGAATAGTTTCATTGGGTTCTCAAAATTCAAAATGGAAATATTACTCAAGGTGAAGATCTTTTCGAGGAGAGAGATATGAAAACAATTTTAAAAAGAATAAAAATAATTTTTCTATGAGATCATTATGCAATAAAACTGAATATTACCTGACTGTCCCTGGTCTTGCAAATCATATGCTGAAAATTATAACATGAACATATTATCACTTAAGAAAAAATTATTTTGAAAGATATTAACATTTATTTAAAATTGTAAGGCAGATAATAAAGACACTAACAAAACCAGGAAATTTGTCATTGTGAACATATCTAAATAAAGTTTTGTTTACTAATGAACTGCTTGTTATTATGTAATTATTGTGAAAATAAATTGCCAACATGAAAGGGATGTCAACTCTTCATTTTGGTAGGAAAAGTGCCATAAAATGGATTTTCCTGGGGTAATTGACAATTTTCCCAAACTTTCCAATGGTCAGTGATTCTGTTCTGACATTTAAAGTTAGTCAATGTTTTTTTTAAGTATGGGTTTTGTACTAATTTAATCTCTTATGAGATGAGGGTCCAGGTGGTCTGATGGCAAGTGCAAAATTCAGAATACGTAACTGTGATATATATATGCAGCTTTGGTGGTTAAATGATATGAGATATATTTCTAAGTGTTGTTTACAATGTTAGTAATTATTGTGGAATTTTGAATCTCATATGAAACCATAAGTACCTTTACAGTCCACATGTTTTAACTGTGGTCCTTTCTCCTCCCCATCCTCTACCATCTCCTTTTCTCCATCATCATCATCATTCTTTCCCCATTCCTTTTCTCTATCATCAGCAACATCCTCTCCAAACTCCTTTTCTCCACCATCGTCCTTTCCCCATTCCTTTTCTCCATCATCAGCAACATCCTCTCCCAACTCCTTTTCTCCATCATCCTCCCCGACCTCCTTTTCTCCATTCTCATTTTCACCTTGATCATCTTCTCCACCATCCTCCTCCCAATCTGTTGTCCATCCCTTTGCCATCATTTTTACCATCTCTTCATCCTCCATATATCCACTGCCACCAACATTCCTTCCTGTATCAATATTGTCAGCCATTTCGTCAAGTGTCATCCTCTTTAAAGTCTTTATTTGCATTATACGGTGTATTAATTCTTTCATCCAGACGCTCTGTGAACTTGCCTGTGCACTAGACACATTTACAAAATGCCTGAAACTAAAATAAAGACTTATTAAAGACTTAATATTCAAACTTGTTTTATAATTTCTTTGCAGCATGAAATTGATTGTTGTTGCAACGGCAACAGGGACATGCAGCCATGACGCGAACAGACAGACCAATCAGAATATATACAGACACTAAGTGTCTGTATATAAAAACATGATTTACCAGCTCTTTCCCTGCCTTTTCTGTACTGTTTTGGTAGTTATTTTATTTTTGTTTTTGTTTTAAATTTATATAACATCCTCACAAATTAATCACAATTTGCACCTCTGTATTCATAAATGTGCAATAAGACACCAAAATGAAGAATGTAGTTTGATTTGAATCTCTATGAATGTATTTCTATTTTACATAACACCTTGGATTATGAATAGAGCTCAATGTCCTGGAAGTAGCCACTGGCAAGAAAAGCCAATCTAAGTTGACCTTTCTTACCCCAAATAATGACGAGATTCTTTCTTTTACTCACTGGGAATAACATAGCATGGTTTGAACATCAGGCCCTTGGGAATGGCAACTGGACTACTTTTTTTTTTTTGATAACAGTAATGTGCTGGGATGTAGTTAGTTATCCTACTGTATTCTTCCAACAGGAAATACATTCATTAGTACAAAGTATATCTCTCAACTTCTGGCTGTTTTTCTATTTTCCCTAACAAACTGGCAACCATACTGAAAAATGCTCATCTCAGTAGTAACAACCTAGCTAATTTTACTCTCTCTACCCATAAGGAATGCATTTCTGTAAAAAAAAGTTTACAAAAAAGAATTTTGCAGGGTTAGTGTTTTGGCAACTCACCATATTCCCATATTTCCTTTGGTTATTGATATATTTCACAATTAATTTTGAAGAATTATGGCAAGGGTGCAGTGTGACAAACCATATGTTTATGCAAATGCGTTCATTGCCCCCAAAATTTGGCAGTTTCAAGTTAAAATGTGATCTGCCATAAGATGAAGGCTAAGCCTTTACGATTTATGAGAAGTAAGCAATAATAAAAGTAGACTTTGTAATTGCCAGACCAAATTCAAGGCACCTCCAGTACAATATACCAGTGAATGAAAACATCAAATATTCAATTTAAATTGTAGCATAGTTTATCATACATACCTAGATGAACAAACAAGAGATGACCTCTTGTCCACAAAGAATGAGATTTTGCAGTTGTCACAAGGATCGGCAAAACACAGTGCCGCAGGGTAATTTGGGCATGATGCATCCACACAACTGTTGGAACAAATTGCAGGTATACGTCCATTTTTACACTCTAATGAAGAAATAAGAGTTACTAATTGCACACTGTATAATGCAATAACTGTCGCAGTTTTTTATTCAAGTGATACATGTCAACTACAAAATTAAACAACTCTGATAACCATCAAAATAATTTATATAAAGAGAACCATTTTCAGAAAAAACAAAAGTTCAATATGCAAAATGAACTTACTGTACAGAGGGTCACTTTCATATGCTACCCTGTCACCTGAAATATTTATAATAATTACAGCATGCATGTGGGCATTTAAATTCTACCACTTTTTGTATATGATCAACATCAATTTAATTTGTAGATATTTGTATAAAACATCACAAACTAGATACAAGTGTTACCATTTGAGAATATTTGCAAAGAGATAGTTCATGAATTTTAATTGCCTTCAAGCTCCAAATTAACAATTCACATTTTTGAAATCATTACTTATTCTATCTTTTTGGCATAATTAAATCAAGAGCAAACTTTTCTTTAAGCAGGATTAAAAAAAGAGCAATGCAAAATCCTGTTTAGAACAGAATTTTCAGGTTTAAGAATAATTTTTCTTGGTAACATGCTAATGTTATAGAGGTTGGTTTCTGGAAAATTCTGTAACACAAGATGTACAAGATTAACCTGATATGAATGTAATTCTCACCACTAGCATCACATTCCAAGTGACCAGTGGTTAAAGTGCCTTGTGTTGGCCTTCCCTCTTTGTTCACACACCAGCACCAAACACCAGAACACTGCTTGTTGTCAAAGCTGCCCTCAGCATTGCACACTCTGAAGCCAGAAGCTGGTATCAAATCTGAAAACATATTACGGGAACATATATTTGTCCTATTCTTAAATATACAAAGCAAGAGTTAATACCTTGTAATGTATCAAGATATATACAGATTATTACTGCCAGTTTTCTTACACCCTCCCCCCCCCCAAAAAAAAAATAAAATGCACCTGTCAAAAACAAACAAAAACTAGAGGATCGATCAGAAAGGCAATACTGCCTCTGGGTATTGTACCACCAGCTGGAGTAAAAGCATTCTTTTGGAAAACCAAAAAAGGGACACCACCTTCAGTGTCCTGCTTGACAATTAAGCTCTACAAATTCAAGTTCATTTTTTTTTTTTTTTTGAAATATATGATTTAATTCCTATTTAAGTTCCAAAGTAACTAAGGAATGTGTTTGGCTGTATAGTTAAAACTCCAAAACTTTGACTCCCACTCCAGCACCAGAAGCAGACTAAGAAGATGGGTATATGTATCAGGAGCGGATTTAGGCCGTCTTCTGGGTCTTCCGGAAGACGGTCAGATTTTCAAGTTTACATTGAAAGTTGTCTAATTTTTACGTCGGAAGACGGTCAAAAATGAAGAATGGATCAACAAAGATAATTTGGAAAACTGTCAGAAAATATCTCTGAATCCGCCCCTGCGTATAGTCACTGAGGTCATTCAGAACAAGTTGATCCACTGACTAACAGATCAGCAGACTTAATATGGCCGACTCACGTAAAAGCAGTGCGGACTAACCACCTGATGGCATCCCCGCGGCCTAATCCCCTGATGGCATCCCCACCTCAACACGCACCATCACTGCAGAGGCCCTGCAATTAAACCTCCAGCTGAGATTGAACGGTGTAATGGCGCGTGTGGAGCGAGGTGGTGAGACCATCACCGGATTAAGCTTCACTGTTTTTAAGTGGGGCCGGACATATTTAGTCAGTGGATCAGTTAGTCCGCAGATCAGAATTTGCTCACTGTGTCTGTACAAATAAATTGAATATTCTGAAAATAAGCACTTTAAATAATGCATTTCCTATTCTGTGAAAAAAGGATACCAGTCTTTGTTTTGGGCTTGGGTTGCTTCACAAAATGCAATTAAAGAGGCTGAAAGTGGACTTCATTTGCAACATCATAATGGAATGCATATATCTGGTTTCTAAAAATTAACGGAAACAATTTTTAGTCAAATATACGACACTTTATCCTACCTTTACCAGTAACTGAATGAGTAGGCATAAACATTGTAATGATATGTTTTGCAAGAAACATCCTTGCCACATTCGAAGCTCCAAGGGTGAAACCTGTCATCTGCTGATTAAACCACACAGACAGAGCAGTTTGACTGAATACTCTATTGGCTGCAAAATAAATTGAAAGACCCATGCAGTTTTATGTTAACGTGAGGTTGATGTCTAATTCTGGTCTTGCATTAAGGTATCGGTATTCAATTATATGCTGATAACAACCAACTTAATCAATTAAAATTTCTGATTACTATGTATCACAACCAATATGAGTGTAATTAATAAAACGTTGATTTCTGATTGGTTTATTTGTTACAAAATAGATAAATAGAGGGTAAAGGCTTCAAAAGAAATTTATCATATTAATCTTTTTAAAAATTACTGGTTGAAATATTTAATATTTGCATGACATGTATCATGTCTGAGATGTATAGCAACATACTATTATTCAACAAAGGAGACAACAAAACCTTGGACCAGGTCTCATTGATATTTGCTAGTTGATCTGAAATTTTCTTAAATAGAAGAAACCACTCCATGCTAGTAAGTGTCGCTTGGTCTGGATTGCAAACTGATAGGGGTGGTCTGTCAGTATCTTCTGACTGTGGGACATCTGCCTTAAAAGAAGAACCTTCAAATGCTGGTGGTGCAAGAGAAAATCTGGTTGGCAAACGTCTAGTAAATCTGGGGCCATCCAATACAGGTTGTCTACTTATTCCTGGATCCACAGTAACCCTATCCATTGGTGGGCGTCTACTCGGTGGTTGTCTACTCACTCCTGGGTGAACAGTTACCCTATCCATTGATGGGCCTCTATTTAGTGGTTGTCTACTCACTCCTGGGTCCACTGTAACCCTGTCCATTGATGGGCGTCTACTTAGTGGTTGTCTACTCACTCCTGGGTCCACTGTAACCCTGTCCATTGATGGGCGTCTACTTAGTGGTTGTCTACTCACTCTTGGGTTCACAGTAACTCTATCCATTGGTGGGCGTCTACTCACTCTGGGGTCCACAGTTACCTTATCCATTGGTGGGTGTCTACTCATTCCTGGGTTCACAGTTACCCTATCCATTGGTGGGCGTCTATTCACCCCATCTGTTTGGGGGTGTCTGTTCCCCACCTGATCTTCCCTACATTTCCCTAAGAATGATGAAAAAAAGAAATGTACACAAGCATAAAGAAAATATATACATCTGTGATTGATTTCAAAAGTAACTAAGTGATCTCTTAATCACATGGTATAGTGATATTATTATATAATCATCCTGTCCTGTGCATCAGTTGGGGGAAGACAAGGCTAGTCCCTCCGTTTTTACAAAAATTGAGGTGGAAGAAGCACATTTCCATAGGCTGCCAGATTTTTTCTGAAGGAAGTTCATTTATATACATGAACCTAAATTGTGGTATAAAAATCAAAAGTTGGCTGTAATTATTTTCAGAGTAAATTTAATTATAAAGTGTCTAATTCAAGTGTGCGAACTTGCACCACTATCCTTTCACTTTCAAGATAAAGCCGGTGTGCGGACTTGCCCTGGACACACACTAGCCCTCCCCCTTCCCCTACCATATGTTCTAATGATACAAATAGTCCAAGTTTATTATTTAAATTTGGTCCTTCAATAGAACAGATATCAACTTAATTCTGAATAATTTCTTTAAATTAAAAATGTCACCTCTGTTCTTCCCTATATTGTTGCTCCCCAAAGGGCCAAATTTGGGTCTATTGGTGTTCTAATTGGCCATCCAAGCACTATGGTGCCCCCACACTAGAGCTGGTGGCAAGCATGCTGTCCACATCAAAAATCCCATTGTCATAGACTCCCCATATATTCATCTACTTTTTTATTCTATTCTCTATGTTTTTCTCATTTTCTATAAAACTTTGATTCCCTTTAACATATTTTTTAACTCAGCCACGGTGCCAAAAGCACATGCTTTATAGTATGTTTTTACATATATCTGTGCCTGTACTTTCCCTAGGAAAATTATGATCATATTAATCAATTGTCTTTGGTGGGCCAACATGAAAATTCCATTAAAGTCGCAATTTTTCACTAGCATTGGAATAGCTATTATTCCTGCAAAGTAACCTAGACAGCAAGGTGTTGTCAGGCTGATGTTGAGTCCAATTTATTCATATTCTCTTTGAAGAAAAATCTAACAAAGTATAACAAGTTATATTAAAATAAAAATAAAAAGACATATTGTAATAGGCCATATGCAGCTGGAAGCAACTTCTGGTAGTTATATGATTTAATTTAAGATTGGTGTCTCTAATTTATTTATTATTTTGAACCTTAAATGCATCTCTTTTTATTAGCCTGTTTTGTCATCAAGTTTTTCTATGCTATGGTGCTCTAAGCCTCATTGTTTTGCTTGTATATTTGTTTTATGATAACACATGGGAATCAATGCTCCTCTCTATGCCACCTTCCAGGGTATTTGTAGTAAACTTCCGTTTAAGTTTGCTTTGTTGCAGTAATATATAGGGGTAGTAGCATTTTGATTGTAAATATTTATTCAAGGTGTTGTAACAAAATTTATTAATAAATCAAAATATGTCAAGAAATATTTCCAAGTAATTTAACTGATGTTTTTGATAAATCAGTGAAATGTTTTGCCTTCATAGACTACTTTATTAAAAAACATATAAAGTAACTCATCCATGATGTTCTATTTGCAATATGTTGAAGCAATATGTTGAATTAATATCCAATTATAAGCAGAAATATTAAGAACATGTTAAATATCCATGTTTGGACTGATATTAAACCAAAGCAGTAACCAATCTAATAGCTCTCTTTTACTACAAGAGGAAATTGTACTAACCCACAATCGGCTCTGGGTGGGTGAGGGTAATAGATAGCTGGGAGGTTACACAGGATTTACAGACAATTCACTGAATTTTTCCTAGTATGTAAAAGGCATTTTGCTAAAAAAAGCTATAAATGGCCTTCAAATATTGGGAGATGAAATACTGTTTACAAATTACCCTGGCTGAATTTACATTGACCTTTACATGTACTCTGTGTTTATCCATTATAGTTTCAATGCAACCATCAAAGTAAAATCAGACACCTTGTCATTTTTCATAATTTGTGATGGTTCCCTTGAGCTTTTACCTGCGAGATTACCCATGCCAAATATCAGATGTAGGGCAACCAGCCTAGATATCACTTTCATCTTCTCTTGGGAAGTGTGACTATTCAGTACTTCAAGCATTTTCTTCCCACATGTGCTAAAACCTTTAAATATGAAAAAAACAAAAAAAAAAACAAATCATCATCCCACGATGGTAATTAAATCAATCTAATTTCATAGTGATTTGATAAATTCAAAATGAAATTTTATATAATTATTAGCCATATATAGCAACTACTACTGTTAAGATATCTTTTAAAAACATGATCATACATGTACATCTAAAGAGGCATGTTTCCAAAAACACATTATGCTTTATTTAAATACAAAAGTACTTGTTTGAAGTAAAAATCAATTCAGTGTAAATGTATTTAAAATACAACAGAGATTTACCTTTGAAACAATCATATTCAGTTTTCATATGATTCTTAATATATTCTCTTTTGCACCCTCCACATGGGTTAACATGGCAATTTGTACCTGTTGCTGGGCACATCGTCATTGTGCATGTCAAGAAGTTACAACGGTGTGTGTTTTGGTCATTTGGACAGACTGAATACGAATGAAATACTTGATAAAGTTGTGGAATTGTGCTCTATTGACTCCATGCTTGATCAGAATAAAACTTTTCAGAACACCAAATCTTTTGAAAAAAAATAATAATAAAGATCTAGCAACATTTGCATTTGAATCTATACTGAAGTATCATAAAATTTAGAAACAAACAGATGAAATTTTGTGATATATAATATTTTAAAATTTTACAAGTCTTGTTTGACTACCATATAAAACAGTGTTACAGTTTTCCTTAAAAATATAACTACAAGTAAGTACGTAGCAAGCACTTTGCAATATGCTTCTGCCCATTAATCTAACAAGACATATATAACCTGTGATGAATGAGTTTATATACATGTAGTTAAGGTAAAAAACCTGTCAGATTTCCCACTCATTACCTGGATCAACTGGTTCTGGTTTTGCTATAATAAACAAATTAAATGAAAAATAAACATGAATATTCTTATCACCTTATAATGTTATTACTAGAATGCAGTTACGCGTGACAAGCAGTTATGCTAACACTGCTGGTTAAAACAATGTCAGAGTTATGTTAAAAATTACCATTACTTTAAACCTAATCTGCATTCTTCTACAGTTTGACAATAACCTCATAGAAAAACAATAAGTGATGCTTTGTGGGAGATGGTATTCATATGGATAAAGAACTAATATGCACAAGTGATATGTTGAGGTTATATTGCTCAATGAAACACCTTAGAAGTGTAGCCTAAATTGTCTGGGCCCTGTACTTACATGTATGTATACATTATGAATATGAATACTTTTTCCTGTTTGAAAAGTTACAAATATTACTAATACCTGAGCAGGATGTGCCACGTTTCTGTGATCCAGCTATAGGTGTCCCCTGGGGTGTGGCACACCAGCAGATCCCCAGGGAGTCCACACACTGTCGACGGTACCACTTGTCATGACCAAGACAACTGGGGTAGACAATGAAGAAAAAAATTTGTTGCATATTGTTTAAGATCAAACTGCCCTTTTTACCCAGATTTACTGTAAACTAAAATGGCAAATATTTTTCCACAGAAAAATAAGCTTTAACAAAATTTTGGCCCATTTGACATTGAAATATAGGTCAAAGGTTAAAACTAATGTTATATAATAAATATCCACATGACTTTTGGTCAGACTTCTATAGTTACTTTTCCCGTAACTCCTTAGTTTAGTAGATATTTAGCATTTAATTTTCAAAATATACTGAAAATACAAAAATTGGAAAAATGGTCCTATCAAGCTGATTTTCCAACTTTGACCTGTATTTAAGTAACATTGATTACTCCTGTAAGTTTCAAAACAATAAGCCTGTCAGTGTTCTTTGTACTGTGTCATCTGTATCACATATGAAAAAAAAAACAAAAACAAAAAAAAAAAAAAAAAAAAAAAAAACGGTGTAGCTTTGGGGAAAATGGTCCAATCAAACAGATTATCAAACTTAACGGCCTGTACTTTATGAAAGTTTGTCAGTTCTATAAATTTGAAGAAGAAAGGTAAAACTGTTTACCACAATGTGTCTGCACATGAAAAAAGCAAAAAAAAAAAAATTGGATCTGGATTTTGGATTTGGATTTTTTTGAAAAATGGCCAGATCAAACTGATTTTCAAACTCTGCCTGTAATATTCATCACTTCTGTTAGTTTGAAGGCAAAAGGTTAAAGGGATAATAACTCTTCGTATGAGATCTATATTTCACAATAAAAACATTATGAACAACTCATAGAAATATAACATATTCCATTGTACCACAAAAACGGCAGTTATAGCTTTTATTCTGATATCTGAGCTTGACTTTAGACCATGTGACTTCCATTGATGGCTGTTCTCTGTTATAATCTCTTAAGAGATAATAAAAAAAAACAAACTTTTTAGAAAAAAAACAGGGACTAACTTTGAATGTAAAAATGGATTCATTAACCATTGGTAAGTATGGGAAACTCCAGGAAAAAAATTTTTTTTTTTTGGCCAAAACGAAGAGTTATTATCCCTTTAAACATTTTTTTACTCATTATGTTATTTCTGAAAGTACAGAGTGACAATGGCAACAACAACACTGATGACAGACACATGTGATGGTTATATATACAATGTATGATATGGGCTCGTGACAGAAAAAATTAGCAAGAAATGGAAGCTGTGCATAAGTGCTATAGGGTGATGCCACCGATTTTCTTAAAACCACTCGATCCATTTAGATTTCATCACTAATAATTTAATTTTAAACTTTTCAATGTACTTTTATTAACAAAACAGTCAAGCAGTTTAAAAGATTAAATAAGCAATGGAAATCACTTGTTTTGGAACAGAGTATTTATGAAACAGAAATTAAACAAAAATCTTTAGAACTATGAACAATCTTATTGATTAAGACCCCATTCCCAGAGATTAGATCGATTCAACTCCCTGGGGGTTCACGCTAAATAGCTGTCAGCCGACCGACAGCCACGAAAGTTAATTACCCCCTTACAGCTTGTAGTAGGCGGGACGGACATTTAAGCTGGATTATCTGACAGTAATCTAGTGAGACTCCCAACGGGGATAGATCGATCTAAAATCTATGGGAATGTGTCCTAAGTTTAGATGTTTTCAAAAATCAGTGGCACCTGATTATTCCTGACACATTCATCAATAGCTACACCAATATTTGTGCTTTTATCCACCAATTTGGAACTGACTCCTTCCTGTGTCTACATCCAATAAGGATTATGAGGTGTGATCAAAATAATGCTGCCAGCTACTTGAACAGGAAAAAAAAATGGCACCTTTGTGCAATGACAGCCTTATACATGTTATCGCTATGTTGAACAGCAAAGATCCTTAGGGCATGCCAGATATGATAGCTAAATTGATACATAAATAAAGAAATAAAAGAAATAACTTAAATTAGGTCCCATAATAATGTATTTCAGGATTACATGTATTTCAACTAGCCAGTTAATTTTCCAAGCATTATATTTGTTTTTCCTGATATATAAGGGGGGTGAGGTTGGTGGGGGGAGGGGGTGACAACCTTTTGCATGCTCAAATGTACCAATCAAAATAAATCAGGTAAACCGGCTATGCCAGGCACATAGGTAACATACCCAGCGGGCAAATTATGTTGTTTTAACGTTGAAACAAAGTTGAACCATAACGTTTATAACATGTTGGATAAATGTTGGATTTGAATGTTGGATCAACGTCAGATATAACAACATTGTATCAACCCCAGTTGTTAGACAACATTCTTGCATGAAAAGACATCAAAATGACCTGAAATGTTTTTATTTTTGGTACAAAACACCGGTACACAATTATAACGTACACTGTAAAAACATTCAAGTACATGGTTTGTCTGATTTTTTCAACGCATTTAGCTCCTAAGCATGTTTTGCACTAAAGCATGGTACACCCCTTTAGCCTGGATGTGTTTAGCAGTAGGACATGCTTGATGGCTAAATATATGTAGGGTATATGTGTATGGCCTTTAAGTTAGGATTTCCAATGTTTAGTTTTATATATATGTATATAACAAAGTAACAGTCACCTCCACCCGTCTATCTATAACAGGGTACCGAGAACTGTCAATTTTGTTAACTTCACTCCATCACATTTATAGCAACTTATTCATCCTAGCATTAGCTGATCTTGCAAGGAAGTTTATTGGAATGTATTTCTGAATAACAAGTTAAGAAAATTCACTAGTTCACTAAAGACACAAAACAACTGTCACTTTTACTTTAAAACACTTTTTTTTATTATTTTGATAAAGCTAGTTACAGTATTGATAAACAAAGTATCATGTTTTCAATAATTAATATTTTAAATTACAATCCATGTTTTCCATCACGACGACCAAACAACAATGTTGAGTCAATGAAATGACCAAAATAAAATGTTGAGTCAAAGTCACATTATGACAGTGTTTTGGCATGGCTGGATCAATGCTGATTTTACGTTGAATTTAGGTAGATCAACGGCAATTCAACGTATCAACCTGTTTTCAACGTTGATCCAACGTCACTATGCCTGCTGGAATAAAAGCTAGGCTATTTTTAAAGTTGTCAATCAGATGTCAATTGTCAGAAAGCACAAAACACTTAACTGCTCAATAAAAACACTGGGGATGCACTTTATGGTGGTAAACTTTACACTCTGTGGTTTAAGTCAATGACATGCATGTTTTTAAAACAAATTTGGTTTAGTCAAATCAATATCTTATACCAAAAATGTTGCATAATTCTTATCATAATATGGAAGAGATTAAAATTTGAATATATTTTTAATTTGAAACTAAATACTTATTAATATACTTATTAAAATACTGCACCCATACTGTTTTTCTTTCTTCTAGATCTATTTTATTCATTTAAACAAACTCTCATCATAATAAACATTTATGCATAATAAAAAATTGACTTTTTACAGGCATAAGGGTTAATTAACCATCACAAAATGTGTTTTACTAGTATTTCAATACCAAAACTTAACTTACCTAGGCATATGGATAATGGCATCTGGCTTGAAGAAGAGGGCCATAGCTGCTTGGAACATTGCCTGTTTACAGCTACCTACAATATCCGTATGTAGCAAGAAGTTTAATATACTGTACATGCAGATACATGTACCGGGTACATTTAAAAGTAGACACTAATTCTTGAGATAGAAATAATCAAAAACAGTCTACAGTGCAACTATTTATCAGTGATATATTTGTGACCTTCCTTGTATTACCACAACCCCTCAGTTTATCTAATAATGAAAAAGAAAGAACTCTCGATCATTCTCTCTGAAAATCCCTCCATCCCTCCCTCCTTTATATGCATGCTGATCACCCTCTTACTCACAAAGACTTTATCACTCACACACATGACCTATACAATTAATATATTAATTACCATTTATCTGAAGGCGACCATTTTTGAACAACAGAGCTGAATCATCCAGAATTTCCTGCTCTGTATCATCTGCTAAAGTCACATTGATACCTTTCTTTTCAATGTCTTCCCCTAAAATATTTAAATAATTTATAAAAGGCTTTATTTGCGCTTTGAAACGGCACTGCATGTCACATAGTATTCAATATTGGAAGGGTATTATGCATGTTGTGTAGGGTTTCAGCAGACATTAAAAGAAGAATACAAGCCATAGAGATGAGATGAGACTACTCTACATCCAAAGATATCATGTCACTAATGAGGAAGTAAGGAGCAGAATCAGACAAACCAGTGGACCATACGAGGACCTATTGACCACTGTATAGAGTCACAAGCTGAAGTGGTAGATGCACATCCCAAGACCAAAAGGACTTGCCAAAATGACCTAAGTATGGCGGACCTACATGAAAGGAAGATCGCTTAATCCTGTAATGGTCTTTCCGCCTCTCACACGCCTACCCTTCAGGGGCACAATAATTAAATCTCGGCTCAATTCAACTGGTCGAGATTCTACGTGTGGGGAGGCATGTCAGAGACGGAGAGACCATTACAGGATTAAGCGGTCTTCCTTTCATGTAGGTCTGTCATATTTAGGTTGCAGCCTAGCTAGCACTCGGCTCTTCTCGATCTGAATGGTCCCTATGTATGTAACAATAATACCCAGTATATTGTTTGACCACAGCCTTTTTGTAAACCAAAAAAAATATTGTAATAGTAAAAATACAATTTACTCATACCTCAGTGTTGTAGACATGTATTATAAAAAATATATATTGATTCAAAACTAAAGTAAAATTACATTAAACTTTGAACCAAAAGAATTACAAGGCAGCAAAGCTGTCAAATGTACAAACAAAATGCACAAAATAATGATGCACAAAATAGATTATTTAGTCAAACTTGAAGAATAAACATAATGTTTAACGGCAAAAACAACATCAAGTTTTAATTATGCACAACAGGTATAACACAGACTTTAAGAATAATATTTTGTAACTGGCTTAATTAAGGCTTCAGCCAATGACAGTTCAAATTCTCCATATGTTAAAAATTAACATGGAGGCACTATGTGTCTGTAAATAAAAAGTACCAGTATATGTGGAACATTTTAAAGGGGTAACAACTGTTCGTAAGATATCCATATTTCACAATAAATACATTGTAAAAACTCATAGAAATTCTATTTTACCACCAAAATGGTGGTTAATGCAATTATTCTGGTATTTGTGCTTGCCATCACATCACGTGACCTCCATAGATGGCTACACTCTGTAATAATCTCTAAAGAGAATATTACAAAAGAACACTTTTTAGAAAAAAAAAACAAAAAAAAACAGGTTCTAACTTTGGATGTCAGAATGGATTCATTAACCATTGGTAAGTATGGGATAATTGTCCTTTACCACCGGAAAATTCATTTTTTGACCAAAATGAACAGTTGTTATCCTTTTAAGCAAATAATGATTAAAATTCTTGTAAGGCTGTTGGTTACAGGTAGAAGTAATCACACCACTACATCTGAGAATTTCAAACAAAATTTTGATAGTGCCCATACACTAAATTAAATTAAATAATAAGGGATCTATGACACATACATGTATCCCAACAGATTTCCGCAGAGTATTTATGCCTACCTGAAGTGACTATGGATACTGCAGTAACCATGAGAGCAACTGCTGAGACACACTGTAACATGTTTATAATGTCCAGCCCAGCCAACAACTGAAATACAAAATTAAAATGCAATACTTCTTTTTTCAATGGTCTCATACATGCTATATAATAATAATAATAAATAATAAGGATATCTATTTAAAGTCTAAAATCCAAATATGTTCAGTAAACGTTTATAATATGATTGAAGAATAAAAAAGACTACTAAAAGAAAAGGAAAACATTGATTTAAACAAATACATTAAAAAAATATATCACTGGTACAAGGGTTAGTTCATAATGTCATTTTGAAAAAGTCCTTTAAAATCTAGTCATAAAGATAGATTCTCATTTCCCTACTTAAAAATTAAAACCCAGCCCAAAATAACAAAAGTGTACAGCAGAACTGGTCTAAAAAACATTTTTAATGTAATGGCAGATTTTTGCAGAAAACAATGTTGGCATATTTTGGAAATATAAAAAAAATTAATATCTTGGAGGTGGGGAAATTAATTTAAATAATTTTAGTATTCTTTTTTCTTTAAACTCCATTTCTTTATTTCTCTATCTATCTACCTATCTATCTGCTATCTATCTTACATGTATGTTATTTTTGTTTCATCCTGTAATATCCATTACAACTGGCCACCATTTATCTAGCGACACTTATTTTCAATTGTTTTGTTTATTTTAAAATTATAAATTAATGTTCACATTGCCCAGTGATAAATACAGTAAAAACTTTGAAAATTTCATTGCTTAATAATTAATTTATATTTTTAATTTCATGAATATGATGAAATTTTCAAAACTCCAACTGACTTAAATATGCATACTATTTTTTCCATCAAAGAAATCTTTTAAAATGCCAACTATTGGAATGCAAAGAAGATGATGCCTCCTTTTTATAAGTAAACTGAAAGGCATTTTAAAAATCTCCACAACAAACATGTTTCCAATGGTTTAGTCAGAAGAATGAAAAAGTTCAAGTGATATTTTCATTGCTTGACCATCAACAGAGCCATTACAGCATGTAATTGCCTTCCATAACCTGTCTAGAATGAAACACCATCTCTGAGATATTATTTCTTCAGCAAGTACTGCCTAACCCTGCTTCAGGTGCTGCATTTATTGTTGTCTTGAGACATAAGTATTTTCTTTCTCCTTGTGAATACTACGGATTAGCAATTTGAATGAGGACCAAATTCACCCACTGGCATGCAAGTATGACAAATAAACATGACATCACCCTGGATGACCAGTACTTGTGATGTTTTGAACAATCTTTTTAGTTTACTAGTTCAAACTTATGCTGCTGGTTTGATGACAACAAAAAATTTAGTTTTTTTGTTCGTTTCCCTCTTTTTCTTTCAAAATTGAAACATTTTGTGGACAAATAGGCAAAAGTGGAAAGCAACAAGAGTTACACTGCACAAATTTAAAAAAGTGAACAAGTGTCCATGAAAAGCATAATCATCAAAGTTTTAATTTGAAAAAATGAAAATCTATAAGAAAATCAGACATACAATATACATGTATAAAAATAAAAATAAAATATGCTACTAAAACTTACAACCAAGTCTGGCAATGACTTTGATAAAGAGCCACAGAAATGACTTACCAGTTCCCTACTGGTAGTACATGTATATCACACTAAGTCTAAAATGAAGATGAAATGTTTTTCATCCATTGGTTACATTAACTATTGGGTTTTCAAAAATCACAAAAAGAAATTATTTCAAAATACATTGAATTACATTGTACTTACTTTTGACAAAAACACTTTCTGCCAGACCTAAGAAAGGCACTAATAGGATGGTGCTACCATCTCATAAATGATACCCAAGTGGTTCTTCCCTGGTTTCTCTATGATGTGTCTAAATTTTGCAATAATATTTTGAATAAAATTACACAATACAGTCCCTTCCAGAATTTAACTATAAATGTAAAAATTTGCATCATAATGTTAATCAAAGCCTGTGATTGGTTAAATTCTGCGTGTGTTCTTTCCCTTAGTCAAGAAGGGTGGGTTTCACAGGGTAAAATACAGCAATGTGTATATCATAACAAACTTTCAACTAAATATTTCTACTCTCAAAGGAGAAAACAATTTTCAAAAGTCCTGTCATACCTCTACAAAAACTGTGTTATTTTATAATTGTTAATTATTCAGATGTCAAATCAGTCCGTGGAAGTTAACTGTTGAAAAATGGTTGGATATTTAAGAGGTTGGCTGTCTCAAAGGTTGGTTGTTCAAATTAAGGAATTCGTTGTTAAAGGAGTTCGCTGTCCAAGCATTTGGTTGTTGTCAATCACAAAAGTTAGCTGGATGCCTAAACAAGAGTTGGCCATCACAAAAATGGTTATTTCAAAGGTTGGCTGTCTTAATAGCTGGACCTTCAAAGAGTGAGCTGTCACAAAACTTGGTCATTTTGAAAGGTTGGCTGGCTGGATGTTGAAAATCTGAGCTGTCACAAAAGTTGGTTACGTATCTAAAAGGTTGACTGTCCCAACAGTTGGTTGTTGAAAGAGTTGGCCGTCACAAAAATTGTTTATTTTTTCAAAGTTGGCTGTCCCAATGGATGGTACATTGTTCAAAGTGTTGGCTGTCACAAAAGTAAGAAGCTAAAAGAGTTGGCCATCACAAAAGTTGGTCATTTTAAACGGTTGGCTGTCCCAACGGATGGTTGTTTATAAGCAACAGTTGGTTGTTGAAAGAGTTGGCTGTCACAAAAAAATTTTTTCAAAGGTTGGCTGTCCCAATGGATATTTGTTTATAAGCAAAGGCTAGCCAACTTCAGTAGCACATTTGGTTGAAATAACAATGAGCAGCAATAGTAGTGCCCCGGTAGTTACCTGATGAATCATTTCAGGGGCGGATTGAGGCCGTCTTCTGGGTCTTCTGGAAGACGGTCAGATTTTCAAGTTTACATTGACGGATATCTAATTTTGTCTCTCGGAAGACGGTCAAAAATACAGGATGGATCAACAAAGATAATTTAGAAGACTGTCAGAAAATAGCTCTGGATCCGCCCCTGCATTTAGTGTTGTTTAGTGTTGTATGGAGTGTTGATGTTCAGGCCTTGGACCCATCATATGGGTCCAAGATAACTCAAACAAATTATAACCAAGGTTCAAATGAATGTTTTCCCCTTGCCATAAGAAGAAAATGTTTTTAGAATATACTGGCATGTACAACAAATGCAATTCTTATATGGACTGTTTGTTTTGTAAGTTTTTAAGTTTTTAAACACACGAATTGTGATGCTCAATATTTCAAGAATATTTTTAAAAATATGATAAATGCCATAAGAGTATTTCTTAAGTGTGGAGGTACCGTGCAATCAAACAAACACAATGATGAGGCAACAAATCACATGTGACTGTAAGCCCATGAATCAAATGCATATTTTGCATTCACCAGTGCAGCCATTAAAGGCTAGAGGCACTCATATTTCTCAATTACTGCTCCTGTCACACAAGAGCTGCTGCTTGGTGACATGTTAACAAAAAGGTTGCATCTCAATGCCTCTAGTTTTCACATAAAACTGAGTAATCCCCTGTTGTGAATGTCTCCCCTCTATAAAGTCCTTTTTTCTTGACTAATATCTGATATTTTTTTCATTTAATTTTTCACAAATTGAAACATTTTACCTGTTAAAATATACAGAACACCTTACTGACCAGTATATATATTTCATTGTACAAAGGTTTTAACAAAAAATTATGGGTGACCTAGGAAGACGTCTTCCTGTGGCAAACTAATTGGAGCAGTACTCTAGTAATTGGACTTAGTTTTTGCAGTAATCTGGATTAATGCCATGAGAAAACAAGTAAAAGTTGGACCCGCTGTGCCAGGGGTGTCTACCTCACAGCCAGTGGTCTTTGATTAAACCTGTTCTAAGCAGTCAGGTGTAAACTGTTGACGCTATCCACAGGCGAGCAAGAGACATCTCAAGGACATGGGAAAGTCTTTGTACATAGCACACATAGCCTTTGGTCATGCAGAACAAATTAGGAAATGACAAAATCTGGTGTCTGATATCTAAGACAAAAACTGATGTCTGAAATCTGGGATGAAAGGTGATGTCTGAAATCTAGAACAAATAACTACAAATTTCACTTTGCATAGATTGGTCAAAATGAGGAAAAAAATCATTGCTCCATTTGATGATCACGAGTGGCAGAGAGGTATTAAATCCCAAGTGAGATTTTATACCTCAGCGTATAAAAAAAAATACAAAAGCTTGTTGACTAAAGCTTTTTGGAAAGCTTGCTTGACTTACGGTAGGCTGTGTTTAGAATAGAAGTTAGCGTACCAGCAGGATCAATCTATCTCAGCAGGGATTCTGGATAAGGTGCAGACAATGTGATCAGTTAGGGACCATTCCCAGACCCTATCATACTAACTGTGACTCGATCTATCTCCAAGGGGATTCTTGCTAAATTGCAATTAACTTAAGTGACTTAGATGTCTGTCACGCCTACTGAAGTTGGTAGGGGGTAATTAATTATCTTTTAGCAGCTTCAGTAGGCGTGCCAGACATCTAACCTGCTTAAGCTGAAAGCAACCCCTTAGAGGTGGATCAATGGATTGAACCTGTTAGATTGATCTATAGTAGGTATGGGAACCCAGTCTTAAATTGCCTGGCATGCCCCTCTTAACTTAAAGTGCCTGAGTAAAGTCAGAAAAACTTTGTGGTCCATGATGTTGTTCATGTTGCTCTGAGAGGGGTCATGCCATAGAATTAACTGGATTACATTGACTGCACCTCAGCAAGAGTCCCTGCTGAGATAGATCAATCCTGCCAGTAGGATAACTTCTTTTCTGAGCACAGCCTTAGTGTTTGTCATTAGTAAAAGCCAAAAATTTTTCAGACTTTTGAACAATGTCAATGTCATGTGAAAGCGTCAAATAAACAAATTTTGTTTTCTATGGAATTAACTAGTATCATGTGATGTCCCCTTACATGATACAGCAATATGCATTGGTAGGTAGAGGGATCAAAGCCTTAACCCCCCATCCTTCCCAACAAAAAAAGACAAAAAATAATTATAGAATCTTATTGTATGGTCACAAAGCTTTGTGACCGACTTTTTTATTTTGCAAATTTTAAAGATTTCCACAGATTTTCTCTCATCAATTTAAATTCCAGATATTTGCAATGAAACTTACTTCTATGTGATGAGATGTGCAGAAGCATTATTCAATTCACCTGTTTAAAGAGACAAATAAAACTGCCCTATTAAGTGTTACATGTACTACTGAGCTCTATCACATATAATGAAATATTTTCCTAAAATGTTTTTAAAAACATATTGGGGATTTTGCAGGTAAAGTGTGATAATATTAGAACACAAAGTATCTTAATGGTACCATTTAAATTAAAAATTACAGATGTTTTAAAATTATTAATCAAATAATTCACTCTACAATGCATCTGGGTATGATATCTTATATACATGTATTAATATATAAAACACACCAAGAAACAAGCAGTGTTGTGCTTGTTCACATAATGTATATTATGTCCTCCAGCAAAAATGTGCTTGCTTACAATATTTAACAAAAACAACTCTCACATTTCATTGAGAATACACTTACTGCAAGGGTTACTTGATTCCAAAAAAATCAAAATGTATATAAAAGACATAATACTAAAATTGACTTATTGTGAAAGCATGCTTTCCATTTTCAAATAAACAATCCTTTTTCATATGGTTTTCTCGCAAAAAGTCAAAAAAAAAGTTTGGTAATTTTCCTATTTCTAACACCATTTGCAACATGGTTATCTTTGTGGAATACATAGGATCAGTAAATGTTCTAACAGTCTTGTTTAACCTAGCTTAGCTTAGACTAGTCTAGTCTTCAATGATATAATTCTTGGAAAGTATTTTTGTCTCTTTGGTTTCTGGATTCTTCACAGACACTTATCTCTACATTCCTGGACAGTTTTGAAGTTGTTTCCTCGATAAGGGGTCATGCTGCACCCACTGTAGATAAAGGCTTGGCAACTAAGAGTGTCCCGGTTCCTGACTGGTCCAATGGTCCCCTGGACTACCCCATAGCGTATCATGTAGTGGTCTGTACAGTTCCGTGGTCCAACATGAATCTCCATGTCGCAATCTGAAAAAAAACAGAGTATCAATATTAATCGAATTGCTAATTCAAACCAAGAAATTAGATAGAGAATTAGAAAATTTTTGTTCAAACATTACACTAAAAATCTTTTCTACTAGTTCTTAAAATGAATAATTATGTCTTGTTACCATTATTGCATCTTTAATTTGCCCTATAGTTGACTTAGATTTCAAAATACACATTTTCAAATAAAAATGTCTACTTCAGATATTTTATTTTCATGTCAATTTTAGATGCTGTTCACCGACTTATAGATTACAAACCCTAGCTTAAATTTATATACTATAATCCGTAATCCGGTTGAAACTAAAAACTGCACATTTGTGCTAAATGCTGACAGTTGGGCATTGTTTCCTTACCTGTGTGTTCACCTGACAGTAATCTACTGTTTCCTTACCTGTGTGTTCATCTGACAGTAATCTACTGTTTCCTTACCTGTGTGTTCATCTGACAGTAATCTACTGTTTCCTTACCTGTGTGCTCACCTGATATCTGACAGTAATCTACTGTTTCCTTACCTGTGTGTTCACCTGACAGTTGGGTATTTTTTCCTTACCTGCATGTTCACATGACATCTGACAGTCATCCTTTGTTTCAAAATGGTTGTCTCCTTTAGAGCAGCCACCCCAGGTAAACATCTCACACATGCAAGTCTGGGGGTTGTAAAAGTAACGAGGGTGCGACTCTCGGCATGTGCCATAATTCACAGGTGTGCGGCAGGCGCTGTTAGCCATGTTGAGATACTTGCAGCTGGACGTCACAAGAGATCCATCATGGTTAGAGTTATCGACTGAAAAAAATCATAGCGACATTTGAATTTTGTCAGTGAGACACGCATTTTTTAAAAAATACAACTGCACGTATTACTTCAACAAGATCTTTCACCATACACCCAAAACTACCATGTATTAATATGCATGATCCTATGACCCATGCAGCACTCAGTAGCCCTGTTGGATTTTCTTCTCCTTTTACCTATACAAAGTTACATTCTTATAGAATTTAACAATGTCACAAATCAAAATGTAATGTAAATTGTATTTCATATGGACAATTTTACCAGAACACAAAGTGAGCAATTACATCCTGTTATACAAACAAAACGATGTTACAGGACATAAAGCACTTTTCAACATATGTATAATATTTGATAACCTTTAAGAGAAAGTACAAGAGTTTAACAGATGTTGAATCCAAGTTCATCATAATGCTACAGTCAATATGAAGCATATTCATGGAATGCCATTTAGTTGATAGGTAGCTGTTTTTTTATAACCTACATTTCATCTGGCATAGCTTGTTGATGTCATTGTAGCATCATATTGAGTCATGTCTGGCTTGTCTATAGCTCTCTCTCTCTCTCTCTCTCTCTCTCTCTCCAACTTTCTCTTACTTTTCATCTTGAAAAATATTTTACTAATTTTTCAAGCTCCTTGAAATATTAGTAACAGAGTGTGATTTTTTTCCTACATACGACAGCATAACTTTCTGATTCCTTTTTACCATTCAAATATACAGCCTTCATTACCTATCTTACTCCCTGGGCATGTCTTGTCGGTGACACAGATGCTTGCACACTCCTGCTCTGTCACGAAGTTGTTGTTATTTCCCCAGCAGCCGCCAAAGTAGAACATATCACACTGACATGTTGTCTGGTTGAAATACCATCGCTGAAATCTTCCCTTGCAAGGACCGCTTGCCATCTCCTGCATACAGCGAGCAGGAGGCAGGAGTTTCTTTACTGTTGCTTTGTCTACAAGATGTATGTACACTGAGATTACTCTTCACTTCCATAAATATTCCATACTTAGACTATACAACAATATAATTTTTCAAAAGGCTGTGGCTAAATTCTCAATGAAGTACCCAGTAGATCCACAAAGAACACTTTATCACTAACAACTGGTTTTGGAATGAAGCAGAGAAAACTTGTGAAATTTTTTTTCAGAATTCCTCAGCAAATATTTTATGGCGTGCTAGACATTAATAGTCTCAGCAATATTTCTCCTCCCCACCTGTGACCAAATGACAGGCAGTACTAAGCATCACCAGAGATTAGTCAAGCACAAGTGAATTAGAATTGTTTGATAGTATGGATTTTTGATGTTTGTGATTTTTTTCTTGAGAAATAAAATCACAGACACAAACACACACATACATCTTAGAAACATGAGCCTGCAACAGCACATAAAGCTTCCAATCCTGTTGACATCACATCAGGTGGTCAAGAATGAATTCAAATGCAGTTGCTAATATGGAAAGCGAAAGCTATACCTATTAATATGAAATAAAATAATAACATGTAAATATCATTATGCATATACCTGTCTCCTTTCTTTTGCACATGTGCTCACATTCTTCTTTACTCCAAAATTTGTTCAGGTTTCCACGGCAACCCCCATATAAAAATGTGTGACATGCCTTGGTAGCAGAGTTGTAAAACCAAAGCTCAAGAAGCGCTCTACAGGGTCCAGGGTCAGCTGGCCGATGACACAAAGCTGGGGGACTAGGGGAAAGAAAGTCCTCTAAAGCAAAGAAACAAATTCCCATTCAAGTTTCAAGTTAACAGCACACATAACAAGCAAGTACCCTCTACCAGGGCCACAGATTAATATTTCACTTGATATTCACAGATACATATCTGGCTATAGCTAATTCATGACAATTTTTTCAGTGAGAATTTTGGCATGGAATTAATTTTATCACCCAACTGGCCTCTGGTATAAAGTAAAAAGCAGGTGTTCCTTCTTCAATCCCAAATAAACGTCTTAAAGATATGGTGGCAAACAGTATATATGATTACTCAAGCTATAACATGCCCAAACAAATTAATCAAAAGAGCATATAAAATAAGATTACAAGGCTATATATTTTATATTGTATTAAAAGCTCTTTGTTATATCTACAAAGACTCTCTTTGAGGTAAATATAAAGTAAACATAAAATGGCACTTATGTGTCAGTGATAAAAACACTTCATGGGATAAGACAGAAAAGTACAATCCCCTGAAAACCAAATTTATGATCATCTCTTGTCTTGCTTTTCTTTAAAAGTAAATATGCACTATTTCAATAAGGGTAACAATTTTAATTCGAAACCATTAATATTTCCATTGATTTAAAAATGCAACTATCTAGTCTACAGAATTACAATTATTAAAAGTCTTGTAAATCCAAATATCTTCTTAATCATGCCAATATAGGTCAGTGCACTTTACCTTCCTTTTGTGCATAACAGAAGTGGCTGGGGACAAAGATGAAAAAGTAAACAGCAACTCCTAATCTTATTTTCATGATTTCTCCTCTTCTTTATCACCTAGCAAACAATATTTACAATACTGAAATTATATCAATTTCAAGAAAGCAAATTCATATTCCATAAAGCGAAATTGTAAAGAGAAAGCCACCAAGAAAATCTTTGTGATATATGTGGTGAGAATATTAATGCTCACTAAAGTGTCAATTTTTTTTTAACATTTGATCAAACATTTACCTACTCAAACAACTTTTGTCTTCCTTGATTCATATTCTATATTAAGTATCTGTTACAGCACAAAAGAAAAAAAACGTAATAACTATGGTGAAAATATTTATGCTTAACCTACCTCTTCTTTGCCAAAACAATTGATCTCTTGTCGTTCTTTGTTACTGTATGAAGCACTTTTAATCAGTAGAAGAAAAACACCTCTTACACTTAATATTAAGACGCAATAGTAACCGTCTTCAAGCAACAAGAATATTCAAGTTTTGCCACCTTACAGTTATTAGTATCAGCAGACGTCAGGGTGGTGCAGTCTAACTCAACAGCTGCCTCCAGGAAAATATGAACAAGATTGGTAAGGTCAACTTGTTGATCTGAATATTAAGTGAGTGCTTGGGCTCAAGGCTATAATTATGAATCAAGTAGTTGCACAGTTATAATTACCATTTAATAGAGCTTTTCCAATATTTTGCAATAAACTCTGCCATATTATTACACATTTCCTTGGCATATTATTTTTTTCTGTTCATTTAATTTCATTTTCTGATTACTTTTGTTTAATTTTTCTCAGGATAAGAAATAACAGTCCAGCCTTAAGGGATTACATTCATAAACAATTTATCACTGTCAACTGACCTTAAGCAAATACTCATACCTATTATTACTCATTAACAGCAGTAATTTTCATCAGATCGGAAGAATATGACAAAATATTTCTGAACAATCAATATGTGTGAAAGAAATGCAAATTCAAAAATTTGAGTGAATAAAAAAATTAATAAATAAAAAAAAAAAGTTCCTGGTTATATCAAATGGTATTAATTAAAACGCTTTATATATCTTATGAAAAAAAAATCCGGCTGATGACAGATAAGTTGTAGTTACTGAAAGCAATAAATAATATCAAACATTTTTGCACAATATTCCATGAAATGAGAGAAACTGTTTATGCATGTCCACATTTTACTTTAATTCCAAGTTATGTATTTCAAATCATAAACAGCATTTTAATTATAGCATACAAGAACTTTAGGAATTGTGACATCCACCAATGAGGTTAAAATGTGTGATGTAATCCTGCCAGAAAATTTAAATGCACATGTACAGAGCATCAGCAAAGAACACTGCCGTCATGGTGACACCTTTCTGCACATCCAAGACATGCTACTTAACAAGCCTAGGGTCACACGACAAATTCATTATTTTCATAGTATTTAGTCGGGTCTCTAGAGTCTACTGATCTAATCTAATAGAGTAACAGGAACCAAATAGCACCACAAAATATTTTCTAAGCAAAGTGACTTCCAACTGGCATACTTGTAGTTAAATCAATTTCTCTTTATGAGATCATTCAAAATTATAAAGAGACACTGTATGAGAAATTTGAACAGTGAACTAATTGTTAATCAATAATGCCGAGACTTATATAGCCAGAAATTCTCCCTGTTGTAGTCTTAAGTAGCTTTACTGCTAAATCCTCAACTGTTCCATTACCTCTACTTGATTATGAATGGCTTTATCAGAGGAATTAGTGAGATTTTTTTCCTTGACATTCTCTCTGTAAAAATTCCTCATATACATTAAAATATTCCAATCATTCTTATGCTTTTATAGCCCTGTGGTCTTTCTTTTCATAAGATTTAGGTTTGTATGTCCATTTAATGTGTTTGGCCCTCTTTCTGGGCTCTATGATGTTTCTTTTCTGGAAGCTTTTGAATCTGTCCTCCAATAAATGTCCTTCTGGCTGGAAAAAAGACAAAAGACAAAAGACAAAAACATCTGTTATGTCACTTGCTACTGATTGAGAAAATTTTTAATCTCACAAGCTGTTACCTCACTTCCTGTGAAGCACATATGGCATATCAAATTGTGCTTGTAACTGAGATATAAAACCTATCATACAGAAATTATGAAAAGAATTCCACATTTAGCAAATCAAGCCATTCTTCAAATCCTGAGTCCCTCTTTCTCTCTCTCCCTTACACACACACAAAGAAAAAACATCTTTCTTAGGGTTACTGACGCACTTAACTTCTTTCAAATTTTCTGATAAACAACTAGCTCAGACTGCTTAAATGAAAAATTGAATAATAGAATTACAGTTAGCTCAACATATTCATGCAGATAGTTTTAGGTTTCTCAGTTGGCTATGTTGAAACAGACTATCCCAATAAAACACACATGCTATCCCACACCTGTATGTGTTATTATGTGTAAATTCTTCACATATGGGTTGTGTCAAGGGGGTTGCATATTGCAAAATGTTTACAGTCTATGAAATGAATCATTGACCAATTTTGGCAGTCAATCAGTAATCATTTACCCAAATTTCTCAACTTAAATAATTATTATTTGCCCAACAAAACATTCCCCAACTTTCTTTTCAGCCAAATTTAATCATCTTAAACCAATGAAAAAATGCACGCTGCTGTAAACCAAACACCTTCAACTGCATGACAAAAATTTAAACTGATAATCTTTCCCCTACCTTTAGGAGTCTAAGTGATCCTTTTAATTCATCACTTAGCTGAAGTTCTAGGTCAGGGGCTTCAAATCTTGGGTAACGTTAAGGAAGGTTATGGAAAAAACCTGTCACTCAAAAAATTACCTGCTGTAAATAAAAACAAGGAAAACATTAATATTGTTAAAAAGGCTTCTAATAATGTTATTGTCTAAAACAAACTATTTTCTTTATCTGATAAAAGATACTTCAGCTTGCCCAGCTTTTTGGGGTTGGCAATGGCTGCTTTCCTTTTTTCAGCTTTCCGGGAAGCTTTTGCTTCACGTTGCTTTACTATCTCATTCACCTCTTTCTTGATAGATTTTAATCTGAAATTGAGAGAAACAGAGATAACATGCCTAGTGATATGATAAAATTGCTCTAATTTTTGGAACCTGTAATTAAATGCACCTGTTATAAAATATTTTTGATAAGCGATCAACATATATTTATTGATTTTTTTAAGTTTCACACATTTTGCATGTGTTTCATATGCTTTAGGGACTGATTTAGAACACTGTACCTGAGACGCTGGCTGTCTTTTATTTTCTTCATTTTTATCTCCTGTAGCTTTTTCTCCTGAAAACAAACGCACATCACAGAAAAAAATGCTTCGATTGAATCTGCAACATTTAAATATCTGTCTACTTCAAAGTATTAGACTTTTAAATCTACTGCTGCCTATTTTTAACTCTTACCTTCTCAAGTTTTAACTTCTCTTTCTTTCTCTGTTTTTCTGTTTTCTTATTTTCCCGCCTTACTGGGGGATTTGTTGTTAAATCATCAGCATCTTCACTGTCACTTCCATCTTCCTCATCGTCCCCATCAAGACCCAAAGACATCTCTTGTATCCAGGATTGCTAAAAATTAAAACACCAGATTGCATGATATTTCATTTGTATCAACTTCTCTCGATATATAAGATTTTGAAGTCTTTTCTTGCCAAGTTTCTTTCAGTTTTCAAGTTTCAGTTTCTTGTTTTCTTTTTTTCAGGTTTCATGGATAATCACCAAACACATTATCAATTTAACAGAATCCCACTGACTGTACATAAAAGTCAGAATGAAGGAGTCTTACTTAACAGGAAACCATCTTGGACTACAGAAAAACATAACTACACCCGAGTGAGGAAAAAAATTACCTCCATCTCATTCCAACTCATCTTTTGCATTGGAGCAAGTCTCTCCTCCAGTTTGCTCTCCTCCTTCAGTTTTTTAATTTCTGCTTCATTTGCTATTTTTAACAGTTCCTGAAGAATAAAGCAATCAATATAACTTGCAGGGTATGGATTTTTTTATCAATCCCTAAGAAATGGCAAATTGATTTTAAAGCAGATATGAAAGAATGTTATGTTATTTTAGTGGGTCTGGCATAGAATTTATGCTTTATGGTGTATAACATCCAACAAAGTCTGGAAAATAAAATAAAAAAGGTATGTTCATTAATCATAATTTCTATCATTTTATCATTTTCTTTTGCTGCAATCAGTTATAAATAAATAAATCTTTACTGCAATGTTAATTTCTGACTGAATTCACATGACTAATGGAGTAACACATTTCATATATCACATCATCAATAACTATATTTTTACAGTTTAAAGTATTATGAAGGCAAACCTGTTGCTTTGTTCCTAAATGAGCACTGTAGTTAAGTCATTTAATTAAACCATTCCATTATCTTGCATTGTTACCTCAATAAAACCCCATACTGACCTGATGATCATCAAAAGCTGGGTTATATGAAGCTCCTGGATGACTAACTTCAATGGCAGGCACCACAGAAGGTTTGGCTCTAAGGCGCTGAGGAGCCTGAAACCCAAAGATATCTTACATCAATCTCAGACATTCTTATAACAAACATTCTTCTGAGCAATTTTTGTTTTCTTTTTTTATGAGGCATAAGGAACGGGCTTTTGTTTGATGGTTTGATTTACAGTCAAGTTATTGGGATTTTGGCTTTTTATTGTCCTCATATTTAAGTTCAAATAAGAGTTATAAATAGTACAACTGTGAAAAATTTGTAATAACATGTCTTTTTATGTTTTAAATATTTCAAAAGCAAGGAATGATATTTCCAGGGTTACTGAAAGTAAAAGTCCACATGTCAACATTAGCAACAGGCAAAAGTATCTGCTTACTTTAGGTTTTGTCTTCTTGGTATACTTTTCATGATACTCTGCCACCTCCTTCACAGAGGCTGAAAATGCATAACTTCTGGCATCATTCGCTTTTATTTTTCAAGATATATGAGATAAATAAACCACAAGTAAAAATGCATTACTGCAGGCGAAACTGTAAACATCTTTCAACAGCACTGTAATATTAGTCAGAAGAGCACATTAACTCAGAGATTCGATCATAAAAACCAACTATTAAAAAAACGAAATGCACTGGAAAATCGAAAGATTGGGCAATGGGGAATTATCATGAAATGGGTCAGTATGATAGAAAACAGTGTATTATATTTTGCTTACAGTTGACACTGTCCTCAGCCCAGAGATCGTAGCCTATATTAGGGAGCTTGTTCCTGGTGATCCTTCTTATCTTAGCAACCTCAGCTGCTTTCTCTCTGTGTACTTTGCCCTCTCTTTCTCTTGAATTCAAAATGTTCTGCTCATGCTTAATTCTCCTTCGTTCTGATAACTTCTTGATATTATTGCTTTTGATATTTCTTGGTCTAAAATACAAAATACTTATGAGTAAACAAGAGTCCTATAGATAAACTAAATACTTGAGAAATTTTAGCAAATGGTGGGCAATTTATTCTGTTAGATAATTTGCAAGCATTTCGTTATATTCACCCATTTAGGTTATCAGTCAAAATGTATGAAGCTTAAAAAAAATATGCAAGTATGAGCCTGGAGGAATATGACTTGATGAAGAGGGGGAGTCATAAAATGGCTGCAAGTAGTATTTATGTAACAATAGTAACAAGAAAAGTGTTAAAATGTTTTTAAACTTACATCACAGCTGGTTTAACATCAGTGTTAGCATGTAGGTTACCATGACATCTCAATGGTTTTGGCTCTTTTCTTCTCCTCTTGGGCACATCTGGTAAGACATTACAATGTGACAAAAATGTCTGCCTAGCACAGTGTACATGTGCCCACAAAGTATGGAGCAGCATATATAGACCCCATGCAGAAGATATTATAACAATAAAAATTAATTAACATGTGGGTATATTTGCTGGTTAAATTTTTTTTTTAAAAAATGGAATATATTGAAAAAATAAAAAAATTAAGCTGATAATAGTTTTTTCTTTGCAATAAACCAACAACAATTACCATGCCCCTCAGGATCGGCTTCATCCTCCACAAACTTGTCAACAAAGAAGAGCTGTGCATCTGCCTTTTCAGCCACAAGACCACTGTAATTATATATAGACAAACAAAATAAGGTAATTACCAGCCATCCTAAATATCAATTAATACTTTTAACTTTTACCTCGTTATAAGCATTTTAAAGACACCCAATATTCCAAAAAGTACCGCAAAATATTTTCGCCTACATTTTGTTACGCGTAATGTAGAGCAAACGTCATTAAATGCCACCTGCACTAGTTGTGGCAATCCAAACCCATTAAAAGACGTACTCTACATCAGCAGCAACATATATCTTATACACTCTTTCTCAGATGCTAATAATACATTTTTTATTCATTATCAATTAAAATTCAACGTTAATTCGTAATATACTTTCTGAACATGTATACTGTTGCTGCTCCTCTAAACGATCAACTCTTACAGCTTATTTCTCCCATTTCTCTTACCCAGTTCTTAACTGAAGACGTTCATCTTCTAAAAATTCTTCTACGTCTTTGATATCCGAATGTTTTCTCCAGTTTTTCTTCTTATTTTTGCTTACACGTTTTCTTTTCCTCGTGGTCGTGTCCATGTTTGATCTACTTTGATACCTCCTAATACAAAAGAGTTTAGAGAACTTCTTGTGTATAGTGGGGAATGATAATAATAATAATAAGTGATATGCTTGGTAACAAAAGTGTTTGTTCTATATAAAAGTTTTTAGCGAAAAAAGATATAGAAATATATTGGTTTTTCATAACTTATATTTTACCAAAGCAGAATATGCCTATAATGATATATATAATGATTATTTCATGTAGGCCTATTGTACATGTATTTCATTGTGTATCTGATATATCTATAGGCCTACTTGCACACGCAAGGTAGGCCTGTGTGATAGTAATCACTGGATTCATAACACTGTCAAAACGCAACTTGAAACTCCGTAATCCGAGCAAAACCTGGTGCTGAGTGAGAAAAAACAATGAAAAGAATAAACCCTTCTTCTTTTAATTTACTCATCTTTCCATTATCTTTTTTAAGGGTTAGGCCTACATGTGCACTGGAGGAGCGGATCCATGATTATTTGAAGTGGGGGTCCGCGGATGCGAAGCCGACCCTCCCCCTTTGGAGTGGGTTCGGGAGGGCGGGTATTTTAGAGGGCAAACGGTGCCATTTGGTCTGTTTAGAACTATGATTCAGCTTATCAAAATTCTAATTTCAAGAGGAGTTGATTTTTGGATGATGATATGATTTTTTTCTTTTTCAGAAATCGACGGGGGGGGGGGGGGTAAAGCCCCCCTGACCCCTCCCCCCCCCCCAAAAAATAAAAAAAAAAACGCCACTGTACACTGTATGTAAGTAGGGGTTGAGGTGCACATACTAGTAAATGTAGGCCTACTGTACAACAAAAAATGTGTGTACATTGCATACTGGGGTAAATTTAAGCATCAGTTTTTCGAGCTCTTATTTTATCTATAGGTCCTAGTTATACTGTTAAATTTCTTTCGAAATTTGAAATTTTAAACATGTAATAAGGAGAATTGTCTCAACGTGTCTTTTGTAGAAAGAATTGCTCCAAATAGCGCTTCGTTCGTAAAATGGTCAAAGGCAAACAAAGCTAGCCTGGCCATTGCTGATACTCTACTCTGCTCTTTTTTTACATCGATAAATGTTGCTAATTCATAACGCAAAGGTAAAGTGTAAGTAGCTATAATGGCATTAGCGCCCTCGCCGGCAAATTTCCGTAGGTATAATAAAGTGTTACCGAACAAAGGGCCATGTTGACAGTGGTAATGCATGCTGATAACACATCCTGTGTTGTTTGTCTAAGGGAACGTATAGATTTTCACTCTTTTGTTTCTGGGCAAGAAGTACTCGTAATAGTCTTGTTTGAGCATGTTTGGTTTCAAATTTGAACAGATTACATTGAATCTCTCTACAGATGATCGATACAACAAAGTGATGAAATCTTGACTTAAATACGCATGTAATGTGACGTTTCACTGCAGTGTGTTTTTGTCAACTTTTCTAAAATGTTACGGAATAAATGGCTAATTGTTCAGGCTTTTGTATATAAGCGGGATAACGATGGAACACATTGCGACGGTAATTAGATTTTGATGTGAAATACATGTACCCTTCAAACCCCTAACTTAGACCGCATTCCTACAGATTTTATATCGATCTATCCCCGTGGGGAGTCTCGCTAGATAACTGTCAGCTTAGCCGGCTTAAATGTCTGTCCTGCCTACTAAAAGCTGTAAGGGGGTAATTAACTTCCGTGCGCGCTCGGCTGACAGCAATTTAGCATGAACCCCAGGGAGTTAGGTCGACCCAGATGGATTGATCTAAATCTGTGGGAATGCATATTTCTTGTTACTGCATATTTCACTTTTTCTTCTTTCTACTTAGTGTTTTGATGCTTGCGTTGCTCTTGAGTGTAACTGATTTTTATGAGCCACAAAACGTTGTTGACACGTTGTGGCAATGGTGTTTTACAATATCACCCCCTAAAATATCAATCTTTTAAAGGGATAATAACTCTTCGTTTCGGCCAAAAAATGAATTTTCCTGGAGTAAACAACAATTTTCCCATACTTACCAATGGTTAATGAATCCATTTTTACATCCAAAGTTAGTCCCTGGTTTTTTTCTAAAAAGTTTGGTTTTTTGTAGAGATTTTAACAGAGTATAGCCGTCAATGGAGGTCGCGTGGTCTAAAGACAAGCTCAGATATCAGAATAATAGCTATAACTGCCGTTTTTGTGGTAAAACAGAATATATTATATTTCTATGAGTTATTCACAATGTTTTTATTGTGAAATATAGATCTCATACGAAGAGTTATTATCCATTTAATCAAGTGCATTCTCTTTGTGGGGAAACATTTCTATTTTCTAATGCGTTATCTATCAACGCAACTTTTTTTCAATTAAAATCTGACATATATTTACTGTAACAGATAAACACTGCAGGATCACATTTCCTCTGTTAAGTTTGATCCCCCTTCCCCCCCCCCAAAAAAAAATAATAATAAAATAAAATAATAATATGGGGGGGGGGGGGACAAATCAGATTTAGTAAATCTACAGGTGCTCAGGAAGTCAAATGAGTCGAAAGTTCAGGGACAGGGCTTTGAAACAGCCAAAAAAATACGCTTGGTATGATACACATTTTTGTGTTTTTAAACAGGGCTTGGGTGTATAAAAAGACGGAAGATAAGAGTAAAGAAAGTGCTTTCCATTAAATTATATTGATCTTTGTCATGTTGCGTGAAAAACCGGAAAATGTGACGTTTGAGCCATTTAATATGAGCAGTCGCGAAGTCGATCTTTGGTGATCAAAGCTTTTAGAAACCTACCCATACGCTCGTGGAGATCCGTACAGTAGGCCTATATACATTGTTACGTCAACCAACTATCGAATACCCTGTTTATTCTATAAATCAAAAGATGCGTCATTTAGCATCTTATAATATCTAATGGAGAGAAAGCAACAGAAGAGTAAGGACACATGGTTAATTTGGCATTTTTTGGATTAATGAAGTGGCAAAAATGAAACAAAAAAGAAAGGGCTCATCAACGTGCATCCTCAGCGCAGTTTGTTCCGTTCAATCTACATTGAACTCCAGTAACTTGGTCTCAATTGACCAGGTTTTGCTAATAGGTTAAAAGTCTTAACTTTTGTTTTCGCACGATCAATATGGCGCCCCATATGTGTCCAAACATTTTTGCACTTATCAGATAGGCCTATATACGGAATCTTATTCTATCCTGTAGACATGGAGTTCTCTGATCCGTCTACATATTTCCTACGTTTCGCTTTGTTCCAGCTCTACGTCTTCTTTCATGCAGTGGATGAAGGTAAGACCATGTAATGGTTTATGTCATTTCATACACGTATTCATTAAACATCTACATGTATAGCCGCGTACCTGCACAGTGAGTTAAAGGATTCTTAACATTATGTAATTGAAGTCTATATTACCTAGAACCATTTCTCTATTGGATATATTCTATAGTGAAAATTATATCTGACATTGCAGCATGATAATGTTGCAAATATTCGTACTGTGTACTTGGTTCGTATTAGCCACTGTCATTTTGTAAATATTCAGATATAAACTCTTTCTCACTTGTACTACTTTTAGAATCGAAGCGGACTTGTTATTAATCATTTACAATTTTCTATACATGTACATGCCACTCGTGTCCCCGGTTAGTGCGTTTATTTGGAGTAATCTGTCCCAGAATTAGGGGTACAGGGGTACATGTTTCCGTTTTGCATATCGTATATTGAGATACTTAAATTAAGATTCTTTAATCTGTGAACACCTTCCTCTCATCTTAGATCTTTTTCATATCGTGTGTTCACTTATCTGTATCGAAACACATTATAAACTGGTCGTAACTAGCTCGGGGTTCCGTTTAGGTGATTGTTACTTAACAGCCGGGGTAGTGCGTTTTCAATCTTCTCAATGCGTTTCGATACAGATAATAATGTGAAAATTAAGGGCCTTTTCTTTGATAGTTTCTTTGTAGTTTGCTATGTTGATTCCCTTCTGATTTCTGTAGACTTGTTTTGAAGATTTCTTAATTGGTATAAATGAACATTTGACCAGAAAGATGCTTGTATGTATTCACAGTGAGGGGAGAGGTGCCGATCCCGATTGCAGTTTGGCCTTTGGAGCAAGGATTTTGCGGAGCGGATATTAGCGGCAATGGCCACCACCTTCAGCTAAACTCAGTGGAATTTAAGAACTCGGTTTTACATTCAGTATTTTCGGACAACTCTGTCGCGACAGTGACAATACCCGGGCCATTCGATGGCTTTACGATTATTATGAGCATTGAACCTTTAGCTTTGCCTTCTGAACATCTTGGTATTTTGTGTGCGGATATGAGTGCATTTGTGGTTTGTGTCTATCAAAAGAACGGGGAGATTAGAGGCAAAGTTATTGGCACCAACGATTTTGAATCGACGAACCAAATCTTGACTGCTGGCACTGAGGTGAAACTAGTCCTTTCATTTGAAAAAGAATCCAAAAGGCGAATTGACGTCTTTTTGGGAGATAGTTTAATTGAAAGACTAACGTATGGTAGTGGTAGATTGGACTGGGAAAGTATCCAAAGTGTTAACCTCAGTTTTGGCAAGAGAGGCTCTTTACTTGCAATGAGCAGTTACGTGGGTTCCGTTCACTTTTATGCAAAGGAACTAAGCGGGAATGACATTTCTAGCGCCTTATCTGCCTACTGGAATAACCAAGGCGCCCTTATCCTGGGGGATTGGACCGCCTTCCTTAACGGTAAGTTTCTACAGGGTGAATAAAAATATTTAAAATCTGTTGTAAATGCAAATAGGCACCCCTTACTATGACATAACAGACAAAACCCTGGTGTGTGTATATATATATATATATATATATATATATATATATATATAAACACTGATTTATTCTTTGCGTAGATGCTCTCGGGTTGCAGAAATTAACCTAGGTGGAAATATTCTTTACGAACATTAAAAACGACAGCTTTGATTGGTGCTTGTAAGAGACTATAAAATGCTTTAACTTCAGTATATTAATTAATCA